GGTGCCGTCAGGGGCGGCGGCCGACGGGCAGTGACGTCATGACCGGCCCCTCGGAGCTGTCGGCTCGGAGCGCCGCCCGCACGGGACAGCGATCTGCCCGCGGCGGCGGCGGCCGGACGCCGACACAGGTGGGACACGCACCGCCGACACGGTGGTGCATTGTGCGGTGTTAGTCATGTAAAGCTGTAAAACAATGAGAATAGGTGGCGAACGATTCATGACATTTTTCTGGCGTGGGGACTTCAAACAAACGAACTATTCGGCTAGATTTGGAGAGATTCTTGCACTTGTGCTGCATGCCTAAAGGCTACATGTGTCGACAATAGACATGACTCCTGAGAAGTCAACAGCCCGAATCTCTCAGGGCGGAAACAAAGAGGTCACCCGGCCAGTACCTATGTGCGGTGTCGGTGTGTTCTGCACGTGCGGGTGCAGTTGTGCACGCGCCACCGATCACCGTGAAGATGCGGCTCACTTCATGCCCCCGACCTGCAGTGAACCGCGTCCGTCTGAGAGAGCTGTGGTGACAAGTAGCTGAGTTAGGAGTCATTTACTGTAATTATCTAACGAAGTTGTTTCGCCTCAATTATTCTGCACCGAAGGTGTTGTTTCCGAAGACGATGTTTATAACTGTGTCATGTTTGTTGTGAGAAAAAAAATCCAGGGCCCTATGAAAACGTCGGTGCATCCGTGCAGCCCAAACCGTTTCAAGATAACCAGGGTGGGCCGTGTGTTCCGTGTCGCAACCACGTCTGTTGTAAGAGGAAGATGCATGCATGATGCGTGTAACTGACGAATTAACGAGCATTCTTGCGGTAATATGGAGACATACTTTGCTGAACATTGAGCTGTCGCCTAACAGTTTGTTAAACGTCTACAAACTAAAAACTTGCCGTTTTATTAACCCTCGCCCGTATTGGTGTTTTTCCAGCCGCGAACGTATAAGGGGGGGGGGGGTCCGTTGGACCCCCCCCCCCTTGCCGTTTCGCCCCTGATCGAGCTAGAGCTTCGCGGTAAAAACGAGCGTGTTGCCCGTGACGAGAGGAAGCCGATGATACCTAATTTTAAGGTCCTAGGTCATTGGTTGACCTTGCAGGTCAGGTCAATGACCCAAAAGTCGGGAAAATCGGGACCTGTTAGAAGGTCGTAAAGTGTGGCTGTTATGGGGTTTTCGGGGCGCTGATCACGAATATCATGTTAGTTTTGATCACAGATAATGTCTTTATGCATTTAGTCCAGGTCGGGTCAGGTCAGGTCAGGTCAACCAGTAGGGGTCCTGCCGGGTATTCCTAGTAGGTGTCAACCACCTCTGACAGCTTCGTAACATGTTACGAAGGCACCAAAACAACTTCGTAAATGTTCATATGGTTGCTAAATTCGAATTCAGCTCCAAAAACTGGCCTAGAAACATGTAAAACTTGAAAAAGTGAACCGAGGTCACCAAAGGTCAATGGCCTGACCTGACCTTCAGGTGACCTTAACACCCACCCTAATGCATGGGGGCAACATCATATCACATGTTTGAACGCTTGAAACCACGAAAAGAGAGCAAACGCGCGGCTAATGCGAGCCGACATACGCCGAATCGCGATTCTGGCCAAACATGGTCTCGAAAAGTAGGTCACAGGTCAAAGGTCATTGGGGTCAGGGTCATGAAATTTTCAGGGTAGGTGTAAAATTGATTAACGCGAGGGTACTGAAAGTTTCGTCGCGATCGGCCGCTTTTTACGCGAGTTATTCGCGAAAAACCATGGGGGGGTCCGTTCGACCCCCCCCCCCTATACGGGCGAGGATTAATTCAAGCATTCGACATTTAACCCTCGCCGGCCGAGGGGGGGCGGGTGCCCCCCTAGGGGTTTTTCGCGATAGCTCCGAACACGCTGGCGATAGAGAGCTGAAACGTGTCATACTCGACCTTTGATTCAAGCCGGATCTTTTGACACCAACCGCATTTTCGGGTCAGGTCAGGTCACTGACCAATGACGTCATAGGTGAACCTCTGCACGGTCTTCAGATGTCGCAACTTCACAACGCCCTCACTGCCAGAGGAGCTTTCACAGGGAAATGAAACTTGCAGGATCTAGTGTCCATTACGATTTACGAGTCTCACAATTTGTATATCTCGGATTTTTCCTAAAGGTCATATGAGGTCAGGTCATTTTCATGACCTCACCATTATAAGTCAATGGGGAAAAATAATAAACTGCTATTCTGGCGCCGGGAACGATCTCCAACTATCTCAAGCACACAGAACCGTGATTTGACGCACTCCTTGCAAGGTTAGATGCGTCTGCAATGTTGACCTTGCGTGACGTCATTTATGACGTCATCAAGGTCATATTAGTTTTTCGTCAATAACTCCCGATCAAATTGAGCTAGCGAGTCGGGAAAGCCACCAATGGACTCAGGAAGACCTGCCGAATCGAGTGATATGCGACATGACCTCTTTCGACCAACTTCGTGACCTGGGGGCGCTGACCTGACGTGACCTGAGGTCAACATCCTAAGTTGACCTGAACCAAACAAAAAGTTTATCATTCGACGCGCTTGAGCGAGACGAACACGATGCTGCCAAAATCGCGGCTTTGCGGCCGTTTTTGCGAAGTTATTCACCAAAAACTGAACCGTACCTTTGGGCACTTGACCTGACCTCAGTGGTCACCGGTTGACCTAGGACCTTAAAATCGGGTACCAATCTCTTCGTCTCGTAACGGCGCACACGCTCAGGGGCGAAACGGCGAAGGGGGTCGTACCCGCCCCCCCCCCCCTCGGTATGTAGAAAACCAATAGGTCCGGCGAGGGTTAAATATCAGGACCCAGGAGCATTATTTAGGGTCACGGGTGCTGCAATTTTACGATTCAGTACCTATTCTACATTAACCCATTACACATCCAAAGAAGGCGCAGCAGACCTGACCTTGACCTTTGGTTTTTTATCAAGATTCAAGATCTGCATTGCCTATGCGTTTTATGCATCCGTCACTGTAGTCAATCGCCGAAGTTTCAAGCCTAGCTGTGGCATACATTTAAATTTTGCTTCGGGTTAGGTCACTTGGTAACGGGACCCTGGCTGACTTAGCTCAGACTTTTTTTACAACACTTGCAAAAACAAAAATAAACATTCAATAGCGCTTCTCGCCGGACCTATTTGTCTCTACAGGCCGAGAGATTCGCTGGTGCGGCCTAGGACCCTCCTCAAGCTTTCGCCCCTATTAAATCTATGGCTTTGCGGAAAAAGAGGATATATACGTTAAGGGACTGGCGACTGTACATACCCAATGTTGAGGTCTCTGATACACCGGTAGGTGATCTAACCTACGAGGTTAGGACAAGGTCCCAAATAGAGGTGGCAAAAACTGATCAGACTCGGTCGAAGCTGGAATCGGAACCAGTTGGACCCGTACCCCAAAATTAGAAAATTACCTACCCAAAATTAAATTTTAAACAAAACATACCGGTAGGCGGTTCCCGCAAATAATTATGCAGTGCCCTTGTTTCCTCACTACGGGTCTCTCTCTGTCCTTCAGAGCGCGGTTCACTGGACGGAGCGAGAGAAGTACGGATTTCTGCTCCAGCTGTTAGAATGCCCGGAATTCCTCCTCCCTGAGCGGCTGGAGCGGAGAATTTCCGTCGAGAAAACGAAGATGGCTGCCTACCAGCTCGAGCAGAAGATAGTTAATGAGAACATCCGACAGATGGACGGCACGGACTCCCTGCACAGGTGGGGACAAAGCGCATAGAGTAAACGTTAGTACAGCCCTCTGCAAACTGCGTGGTAGGTATTCTTTTTTCGACAAAACCGAGAATATCGCAGATACTATGCTATCGGTCACTCGGAAATCGTAACAGCAAGACGCGCGAGACTCCGCACCTTAGATGGGCATTACCATCATATTCATTTTCCATCCAGTTTGGCAACAAAACCCAAAAGTTTATATTTGCCCCCAAAACAAACTGTTGCATTTTGTTGCCACACAAAGCATATACTTTGTTTAGTGATAGACCCAATCGAAGGAGTGGAGCATGGTGCCTCTATCTGCAATGAATTCCGACCGACAGATCACATAGTCTTTGAGTTATTACCGGTTTTGTCGAAAAAAGAATACCTACCACGCAGTCTGCTGAGGGCTGTACCATACATGCATGCATGCATTATCACCTACATGCGGAGCATGCTCTACACATACTCCGGTTGACCGTCGCTTAGCTTTGTTCGTCCCCAACTCCCCCAGTCCCCGAGGCTTGTCCGTCCCCATGAGTCGTCCTCGGTCGCAAGCTTTACCGCCACCCCCCCCCCCCCCCATTAGCCGAGGTTTCAGGTTTCTCCACCTTCCAGCCGGCAGTCGTACCTACTTTATACGCGATCCATCTGGCCGACGTCTGACTGTTGATAACTACGTACTACGTAGACGTTAGACGATGGCCTTGGTTGACAAGATGGCTTTTTGTCACGACAGTTTCTTCTCCTGAAAACATCCTCATTATCTTAGAGCTTGTTAGGACGTATAAATACCGTAACGTAACGCAGAATCGCCGAGCGTGTAACTACTTATAGCAGATCAGTGACTCCCGGAAAACGGCGAATCGTTCGTGAGACACTGGCTTTGTGCATTACCGATATCTTAAATTTCAATATCTGCCGAACATGCTGACTCGGCCGATAAGGGGGACGAAAGCGCATCCTGCACTTACCGGGGAAAGTTCAGTCACCTGTGGCTCCGACGGCGAGCTCGGCAGGGACTGTGACGTCACTGAGCATTTGTTCTGCGCCGCTGCTGCCCTCCTCGATGACGTGGGCCTCGAGCTGGACACGAATGTCACCGGGCTAAGCAGACCCGAACGTCCGGAGCGAAAGTGCTCCGCCTGGCTGGCTGCGGGCGGCGCTGCCCGCGGCTGAGCTTCGGAGCGTGCGCTCGGCCACGGCCGCCGCCAGGTGGCGACACAAGTGCCCCCGTCGGCGCCGTCGGCACAGGTCGCCGCCAGCCAGGCCGTCGGACGGGCGGCCGTCGCGGCGGAGCGGAGTGGGTGCGCGGTGCGGCGACACTCGGGAGTGGTGCTCGTCGGTCTCGACGATAGGACTCGGGAGAGAAGTGTTGTGTGCACAGACGGAGGAGGTGGAGCTGGGCGCCGTCCTTCAGGACACTGAAAATCGCCCCAGGCCACAGATCCTCTGCGATTCAAGACGCACAGTTTTCAGCCACTCAAGTTCAAGCACATCACTGCCATTGAAGACCGTTGCCTGAATTGGTGCTCTAGGAACGGCCCAGACGTGAAGGTCTCGATCTGAATGTAGAGCTTACAGCAGGGGAGCCCATCGACTTCGACTATAAGTCAGGTCACGGAGAGGACCGAACGCCTGCCGGCACGGGACGGTAGCGTCGCCGATCAGCAGGCCACAGCGGAGCATGGGCTGCGTCGATGGACCCGCCGCCTCAAACGTACGTAATGATTATGCAATTCATAATAACTACATAACAGTAGTGCCGACCGTGGTGTTACATGCACCATCGTACTGTGCATGTGCATGCATAAGACTTGCATAATTTGCCCGTTTATGGTCATGCTCATAACACGCATTTGATTCCGTGACAAGCTTAGAAAATAAATAGGATGAAACATCTAGAGCCAGGATATTATGCTTAGAAGTTAGAAGTTACAGATATCGAAATATCAGAAAATCGAATAGCAATAAGTTGAGTACGCAAGACAGCGCAGTGGAAAATAGGCATCCAATACCCTAATGTAAGAAACGCATAATATCCGGAAGACCGAACTTTAACCCGCGCACCGACGGGGGTCTGCGCCAACTTCGTACCGACGGGGGAGGGGCGGATGACCGCCCCCCCCCCCCTGAGATCTCGAGAACGAAGCATAATAGCGACAAGCGGTAAACGGCATCGGATAAGCACGGACAAGGTCTACAATTTTTACTAAGGTCATTTTCAGGTCGGGTCAAAAATGACGTCACAGGGGTCAAAAAAGTCAAAATGGCGGCGCTGGGCTAGATATGGAGAGTTTTTTCTCGAATAACTTTCGAACTAGGCAAGAACTACAGGGTTGGGCAGATAAATTGGGACAAAATACATATTTGCATTTAGAACGCCGTAGCTTAGAAATTTGTAAACATAGGCATTTCAAATTTGGATCACATATTGTCACACCAATTTTACACATTTTCACCAAATATGGTCACCGTGGTCCACCTGCATCAGTCCTTATCGGTGCCTGGAATGGCCGCACGCGCGGCGAGATCTCCCGTCTGAAATGGCTCGTAATTGTAGCCAACTGGCACTGCTGAGGCTCACCACAGTCATATGGGGACGTTCGTTAGGCTCACCCGCAAAAACGCCCCAGCAACCAGAACTTGTGTGGGCTGAGGTTTAATGAGGAAGGGGGCATTTTCCCTTGGGTACAGTTTGCGGGATCCTCCGTTTCAGAACATTTTGTATTTAATTTACTGTATGCCGGGGAGCTGACTCCTCGAAGAGCATCACTCCATGCAGGATGTTGCCTTCTTTCATCTTGTTGATTCGAACTGCCGGAATAATGGTTAGGTACCGTGTAATGGGAACCCCCTCCCGGTTCCGTAAAATAAGGGGCCCCCACGTGACCGTCATGGAAGTCACCGAGTGGAATACCATCACCGATGTCTGCTGCATTCTTTTTGGAACTAAGATCACGTCTTCTGGGCTGGTTGCGATGTTACATGGTGTTTGCGGTTGTTCATATGTTCGGTTATGGGGATACCGTCGTCGAAAAAGACCTGCACGTGCTTGCTCGCTTCTCCAAGCCCTTCAAGAGGAAACAATTTTTTTAACGTCACAGCTGCTTCAACATCTATGTTGACAGGTTGATATGCATCAATGCATAAGAGTACATGTTTGAGGTGCTGGTATATCGCTTTCTCATGGCGCGGCTACCTTCGTTGTAAGCTCGCGCCACTGTTTTCGCGAGGATCCTCTGATTTAACTGAATTTTGCCTTTTAGCCCCCCTGGAGAACCGGGGGAGCGGCCGGTGTCAATGCAATTGGTATGTAAGGATGAGTCAATATCATCTCTTCCTTCAACGTTTACGTCTGTTCGATACACACTACTTTCAGCCATTTGATGGAGCATAATTAGAGTATTGGCACGCATGTGCGCGCGGACTAAGTTGATAGTGGCTTGCTTAAAGGAAACAGTTCACTTTCCTGAAATTAGTATTTTGCTATGGATTTACGATTTTTTATGCTCAAAATGATCAGAAAATAAAATAAAACTTTTTTGTAAAAACAATTATTTTCTATATTTTGATATAGGACGAACTATATTCTATGCAAAATAATGTTTGCCACGCGGAAGCTTATTACGCGTTGACCAATCATATTGCGTAGTTCAAACCTACGCATGCTGCATTAGCTGTAAGCAGCATGCTGATTGGCTGACGATGACGTGGCTGCATGCCTGTGCAAGGCACACATTCCTCTGCAAGGCACTCTTTTCGGAACGAGAAATGGAATATCTTCGTCTAGGGTGATCGTTGAGCCGTAAAAGCTCCTGATTTGTGCTAGTCTCAGCTCAAGCTACGAAACTGCTATTCCAGTTCAAAATCCCATGTTAAAAGTGAACTATTTCCTAGTGATATAGTGCCCACGTTCTGTGACCAGCCGACTCATAATTGCAACGCAACCTGCATAACATTGAAACATATTCATTAGCCTATATTTATGTTCAAAAATTATCTTTATCACTCAAAAAATAGTCGTTTTAGAGGAAGTTAAAATTTGTCCCAATTTATCTGCCCAACCCTGTATATAGGCAAGGCAAGATATATATGTTGACCTCGAAAGTTCAAGGTCAAAGGTTGACCTCAGGTCACGTGACCTCGAGGTCATCATGTATAGCATTCGATGGCGATGCGCCTTGACGAGCTGAACACAATGAGACCATCCGCGCGGCTGTATCTTGTTCCTGTACGGAGTTATTGGCAAAAAAAACCTTTGGTGACCTTTGATGACGTCACATGACCTTACAGCTGCCCAACAGCAAAACAGACCTCAAGGTAGTGAAGGTTGATCGTATATGAAGTCATGTATGGTTTATGGGGCCATTCTGATCCGTTTTAGTGGTAAAAATAGGGAGTTGATTTTTCACCCATTGACTTATAATGGGGAGGTCGAGAAATTGACCTGACCTTAGGTCATCGATATCAAATTTCCGAGATATACAAATTGTAGCTACTAATGACCTTATAACATTCTGCGACTTTCAAAGGCCTCCGACATCTACTGTAGCTCTGGCACGGTGACAAATTTGCAAAAAAGTGACTTGAGGTTGTGTCATTCAAAGTGACCTGGTGACTTGACCTTAAAAGTTAGGAGGTTCCAACTTGCACACCATATGTAAAATTGATGAGCGAATAGTCGTACCAAATTTCGCGGCGCTACGCGCCGCGGTTTTTCCGCTATTCGCGAAAAACCTCAGGGGTGGGCGGATATCCGCCCCCCCCCCCCGTCGGTGCGCGTGTTAAACCTCCGTTCCATGCATGGTGTCATATATCATGCGTGAACGGTAAAATTATGTTTTTATCACACCTCATTGATCTGGTTACTAGCGGATAGGCGCTGTGTCGTCGGTCACGGATTGTGTGGTAAATGTCACAACTAACGGTCCGATTGCGAGTATGAATGAACCCCTATATGCCATAATTTACCGAGTGATCGAAAGTTGTCACAATCACGGAACAATAGAAGGGAGATGTCTCTGTTGATGGATTTAATCATGACGAATCGATATAACGAATCATGTGTGAGTGCACATGTTAGGTACCTTCTCTCTTGACCGTTATCCTTTGTCCCCGTTTTTACTAACTGTCATCATATCCCTGTCGTAATCTCACACTTTTGTTAGTGCCCCATGAATTGATAGACGGGATCCGACCTGACCCAATATAGGTACTTACCTAACCCGAAACGTTTATTTGTGGCGAAGTTTGCATTCGATAACGCATTATAGCGCGTTATATTGTGGACGCATAATTAAACTTGATTTACCTAAATGGAACTGATTTAAACGTTTGCTTTTAAAATCACCAATATATTTACAATCAGCCGATGCATAATTATGCATAATTAAATGACAAGTAATGATTGGCGTAAACATAACAACATTTAAACCTAATCAGCCGTTTATTAAACGTTTTCTGGTTCAATATATTTATAGGAAGTAGCACTGTAAACGGCCTTAATAATTTGCAGCGGTTGTGCTACTGTTGCTGCCTATTTGTGTGCACGTGTGGGGGCGTTGTCTATTCATCGGCGGAGCCGTCTGACCCCCCCCCCCCCCTCTGCAGGCCGGAGCTGCTGGAATCGCTCTACTCGCAGGTGTCGCACCTGGACTCGGTGCTCAGCTCGCTGGAGGGTCAGATCCAGGTGCTGGAGGCGGTGCAGCGCTCACTGCCGCGGCCCACGCACGGTAGGTGGCCGGCCAGAGCCGCGCGGCTCCCCTCCCTGATCGTTTCCGGGACACGGTCCGCTGAGACAGCGGCGACACGCCGATTGGCGAGGTCGGTGCTCCGATAAAATACGTGGACCGCGCGCCGGTTCCGCACGGCGGCTCGCCGGGATCTTGGCTAATGGCTTCCGGAGCGACAGGTGGCGCTGCGCCAAGCTGTGTGACGCTGGGCGGTCATGGCAGCTGGTACTTTGTAGTGGCTGGAGTGGAGTGGCCATTATGTCAGCAGACACTTCTCACTCACGGTATTATGTGGCGATGATATATAAACACAATGGCTTTGATATCGATGAGATAAACCGCGATACGGTAGGCACAACTTGTGAGACGGTACGAGTATCTATAGACGATTGTGAGCGGTGATCACTGAGGGAGGATATGCCTCACGCTACTGGATCTGATCAGAATGTCGACGTACCCCGTGAACCGCATCGTCCACATCAGTAACCTGCGCGTCTCAGATTAAATGCCGTACCTGTTACGTCTGAGCCGATCCTTCCGTACTGGCGGGCGACTGTTGACGGGTGTGCGGAGCTCGATAGACTCGACTACCTGGCGCGATCGTATGCTTAGTGATCCATCTTGAGGTCAGCCAACTGTCGCTGCTGCAGCCGTCATCACGGTGCTCCTGAGATACCATACCACTCCTACGGCATTCTGCACCTCCGTATGTACAGGGTGTCCGGAAATTGATTAGCCTTTGGATATTTGGCCATTGCTCCCCTGTGCGCCAACGGAACCAGCGCGATCGAAGTAGGACACGGCCTTAGGGCACGCTCAGCTGTTTGCCGACCACGTGACCGGGTCAGGTGGCCTGGTCACGGCCGCGGTGAGGGGTCAGAGGTCAGTTTCCGAAAGGTAGTGCCAGCGCGCGGAGTCGGTATCTGAGATGGTGAAGGAGTACTCTTTGGCTACGCGCCACGTGCAGTTGGCATGGTGCGCGGCGGCATGACACAGGCAAGTGTTGCACAGACACTCGGTGTGTCCGTCAGCACCATGAAAATCTGGATGGCTCGAGACCGCCAAGGACAGTCCCTCCAAAACCGGACCGGTCGAGGACGAAAGACCGTCCTGACCCACGTGGCGAAAATTGTTCTCGCCAAAGCTGCCCTCAAAAGACGCCAATCGACAAGGAAGTTCGCCAAGAAACTGACAGCCAAAGGACATCCGGTGTCTAAGACAACCGTCCACAGTTATTTGACGAAGTGCCTCCACCTGAAGCCGCTCAAGCCTCGTCGTCAGCCGAAGTTGACAGAAGCTCAAAAGCTCAAGCGGCTGGCGTTCGCGCGGGAACGCATCAGCTGGACATTCGAAGAGTGGCGACGCGTTCTCTTCAGCAACGAGTCGCCATTCGAGCTGTGCCATCCGCCGAACCGCCAAAACGACCGTGTCTGGGCGCACACCAGGAAAGAAGTGCCCGCCACGGAGACGGTGAAGCATCCCCGAAAAGTGATGGTCTGGGCGATGATGAGCTATCGAGGGCTCTCCGAGCTGCACATCATCCCGCGAGGCCAGACCGTGACGGCGTCACGGCGGAATATATGTTGAAGAAGTGCTGAAACAGACGGCATCATCGGCGATGGAGCGGACGACGCAGAACGGGCCGCCAACCAGCGTCAAACTTCTGCCAAGGATGTCAGAGGCAATTTTTCAGCAGGACGGCGCACCAGCTCACAACGCTGCCAGGACTCAGGAGTGGTGCCGGGGCAACCTCCCGGGGCTCTGGAAGAAGGGTGTCTGGCCGGGCAACAGCCCTGATATGTCGCCCATTGAAAATCTGTGGGCGATCGTGCAGGACGAGCTGGATAAGATGTGGCCGGCCACCAACGAAACGGCGCTGGTGAGAAACCTGCAGAAGGCGTGGTCCAGCATCAGCGCTGAGACGCTGAACAACCTGATGTGCGGGATGCCAGAGCGCATGAGGGAGTGTGTCCGACCTGGCGGAGGATGCATTGGCAAATAAACGATGCGCTTCACTTGATTTGTTTGACAGATAAATGATTAAATACAAGGGCTAATCAATTTCCGGACACCCTGTATGTTCAGTCCCGCTCGGTGAGGCACACCGGCACTCACCGGCACGGTTAGGTGATGCTCCGATGCACTTGATGCTGCCACGGAGAGAGCGGCAGCGAGCGCGCCGCTTAGGACACGGTGCGGCGTTTTTGACGCTCTAGATGCGCTGCTCGCGCCGATGCCCGGCTGACAGCCGTCTGCGTGTGTCAGTTTTGGCCGGCCGCCGGGCGGGCCGTTTCAGTTGATATTGCAGTCGACAGTGCTCAGGTTGTGCTCTGGTGTCCTCCGAGTGGCCATCGGCGCCGCGCCCTCAGTCAGCATCAGGCCAGCGTCGTCCGTGCTGGTTGGATGACTGTCTGTGGCGGCGTCACTGACCCCGACACCGTTCCCGCTCCGGTCGAGCGAGGGCCGCTCCGGATCACTGGTCAACTGTGAGAGACTGTGAGAGTCATCTCGAGCCGCTGGTGAACTGTGGGAGTCATCTCGAGCGGCTGGTGAACTGTGAGAGTCATCTCGGGCTACTGATGAACTGTGAGTCATCTCGGCTTACCGTTGAACTGTGAGACTGTGAGTCATCTCGAACCGCTAGAGGACTGTGAGGCTGTGAGAGTCATCTCAGACCGCTAGTAAACTGTGAGAGTCATATCGAGCCGTCGGTGAACTGTGACTCTTCCCAGACAGCTGATGACCTGTGGGCTGTGAGAGCCTCTGATGAGAGTCGCTTGGCCGTCGAGGTTCACGTATAGACTGCAGTGTTCGGTAGTGGTCACTGGCCAGTCTTCCCATCGGCGACGGCCTCATGGCGAACAGTGGCGGTTCGCCTCAGGCACCTCAGGCAGTGCCTAACCAGAATTTTCTGGGTTAGATTTCTGCTTTTTTTTGTTTTGTTTTTTAAATTAAAAATATGTTTTCCCAATGATTTTAGTAGTTTGATAATATATAGTTACCCTACTAATCCCAACACTCAACTCATGCACGTATTATTCGCTATAATTTTAATGCAGCCTAGTGTGCAATAATTTAGCTGCCTCATGTCCAGATTCCTGCATTCAATTTACATGGGCTGGCAACTCCAGAAATGTTGGGCTATCAGGCACGCCTACGTCTGGCTGCCTTTCTTGGCGACAATCATTGTGAAAGGACAAGATTCGAACAAGACCTGCCAAGAAATTTGGCTAGTTCTTGGCGGTTAAGGCTGGCATCGTCTCGTTTCTGAACGTTTTTGTTGTGCGATCCACGTGATAGTTGGTGGGATTGCTATGCTATTTTACTTGTGGTTGTTCCTGTCCTAGCATGTTTGTTTCATGTTGGTTTCAACATTTTAATAGGTACTTTTAAATGAAAGGAAGACATGTCTGGCCCAAGCATCGTTGATGAGCTGCTAAGGAATAGTTTTGCTAGTAGAAGCTATGTTGAGAAGGTGAAAATTGTTCAGGATGGGCGGCCGAAACCAGATCTAAAGTGGGAAGCTCAGGTAAGTGGGGTGGTCAAGACACCAGTGTATTCATTCACCATACCTTCCCTTGACTGTGGCTGATCTATTGAACAAAAAAGGCATACAATGCAAATTAAAAACACAATGGCATCACAAAAATAGCAATGCGGAATCATAGGTGGATCTAGGTGGATCCTAGTGGTCCATTGGGGTCATGGCCCTCCTCCCAAAGGTTTTAATTTTATAGTGAGGGTATCATATTTTGTATCCTTCAAATTTGTATTAAACTGCATTGACAGACGAGGCATACATATTCATTTGACATTTCAGTTTCACCTCTTGTTGTGTTGTTTAATTTTGATTTAAATTGTTGTGCTGAATTGCTGCATTGGCTGTTTTGATAGTGTATTTTGATGAATGTACTTGAATCAAAATTGGTGTCATTTGTTTCATTTTGCTAGTTACTTGTTTGGTTGTTTTGAGTGATTTGTGGAATGTGGAAATCATTCAGTTACCTATGACTTGACTAGTTATGCTATCCTGAATTATGTAGACTGGTGTCAGAGTGAATACATGGAACATGTCTAGGCTGTTTTTTGTGGATATGCTGATGCTGATGTGCTGATTTTGATAGTCATTTATAATAATTGTTTTGCTTCACCCATGTTTAGAATGGGTGTGCAGGAAGTGAAATCTAGTCATCAAACTTTAATTGAATGTTGTTGACAAGGCACAAGTGGGACATTCCACTTTCCAGGAACTGTACATGTATCAGTATCAGTTCAAGATGGTCCATATCTAATGATTTTCAATGTACCTATCTAATAGACCATATTAACACACTCAATGTTTAATGTTGGAAAAAAACATAGAAAGGTGAATCCAGTGTTTATGCTTGAAAACAAATCACATTGTTGTTTCATGGTCAGTGTTTGGCTGTTCTCTTGTAGATTGTACACTACACACCTTTGCTATATGAAAATGTACTCCCTGTTGTTGTTTTTAATATGGGTTGGAAATGGGCTTTGAATTATGGGCAATGACCTTATTTAAAGTTTGACACTTGATGCACTTAAAAAGACACCTGGGAAAGGTCTTTCCTTTGAATGCAGATGGTGGTGGTAGTGGTGGTGCTGAAGCATGAGATGTGGTGGTGGTAGTGGTGATGGTGATGGTGATGGTGGTGGTGATGGGCATGGTGGTAGTGGTGGTATGATTGTGGTTGTGCATGATTTTTCCCATTTGAAGCTGGGAGTGAAGATCTGCCTTGCCTAAAAAGGCGTTCTACCCCTTCCTTGTTGTATGCAGTATGGGAAAACCAAGCGGAGATTCAACCCGGAGTTCTACGAGAAGCGCGAGTGGCTGACGGCACCGGGAGAGGGAGCGCCACGCCTGCTCTGCTGGCCAAATTAGGGGCAAATTAAGCATGGTGATAACTCCTTGGGGTACCTCGACTCCCACCTGGCCATGACAGAGTGCCTAACCGGTCACGAGGGGCTGGCGCCGCCACTGTGCCATACGAAACCATGTGCTTCTGTCACTTTAAAATATCGCAATGATCCGGCGTTAAAAGGGACCGCTGTGCCAGCGGGAACGGCTTGGAGCGACTCGGGGCGGCTCGGAAGCGGCTCGAAGCGGCTTGAACCGAGCGACTCAGAGCTTGTCAAGGACGGCTCGGAGCGAAGTGCGCTGGAAGTGCGCGGGGCGGTGTCTAACTCACCGCTCATGCCAGTCGAATACTCCACATTTCTTGTCCTGGGTGAGCTTCAGTGAGCTGTGAGACTATTGATTTCCTTCTGTAACACTGCAAGTATTCAGTCTCCGGCTTACGTTACCTGGAAGTAGTCCCCGGGAGCGGATATCCGTCCGTGCGCGGGCTAATCACGCTATTTCGGATCAAAGGAATACGTCAGAGCAGAATCAATACTTGGATCCGCAGGTGTGACAGCGTGTGTCGGGTATGCTCCGGTAGTCCAATCACCATGATACCCGTAAGGCTCACGCGAACGGACCCCGTGAGTAGGCTGACCTCTCGTGACTTCACGAAATACCCGTTATTCCTGCCACGTCTTCACGGAAGAGTTTCGAGCCGGTCCATGAGATCGATGAGATGGTATGGTATTTTTGTGTGGGCATACCTGTGACACCTGTCACGGCAGCGGGCGGAAGTTCATGACAGGTCGTCACGATCGTTGTCCGTGACACTTGAGATGGTGGTATCCAGCAATACGGTGATAGTCCGTAACACGGCTGCAGTCGGTGACACTGTGGCAGTCCGTGACATAATGATGGTCGGTAACATGGTGGCACTCCGTAACACGGCGTCACTCCGTGACACGGCTTCAGTCCGTGATATGGCGCCAGTCCGTGACATCAGCCACGGTGGTAGTCCGTGACAGTGCGTGAACACGGTGGTAGTCCGTGACAGTACGTGAACCTGCCACGGCGTTAGTTGGCACAGTGGCAGTCCGTGACACGTAGTCAGTCCGTGAATCGGAGTCAGTCCGTGACACGGCAGCAGTCCGTGACACGGCAGCAGTCCGTGACATAGGGCGCCGGCGGCGGCGAGGCGTGGCCGGATGGCACTCTGTTCACGGTCTGCTCTCAGCCCAGCCATGAATCACCCGTCACCTGCGACTGAGCTGACTCACTCGTCCGATGGGGTAACCCACGCGCCGTTATCTGCCCGACGCACACGGCTGGTTATTGGGACCTGCGGTCGGATGACGACAGGCACGATGCACGATCACGATGACAAAAAGCTGTCACGGCGCTCACTCAATAACAGTGAGTTGTCATGGCACACAGCCAGAGCCAGATGTATCATCGACAACAATTAATGACTAAAAACTCTCCGTTCGGCACTTTGTCTGCGTCAGTCCTGAGTATCAGTGCACGACGGTAGCGGCGATCAACAATGTTTTGTCTGTCTTGTGTAATTATAGGTATCTTATCCCGTCACTCAATACGCATTTGTGATTGGCTATTTTCTTCCGTGCACAATGCACATGCGTTATACCGTTTACTGCATCTCGTATCCCTCTGGCTCCGTGTACCTGTGACCATTGACAGCACCCTGTCTTTCTCGCTTCCTCTCAGGCGGCTCTCAGCACGACTCGGGCACGGACGGCCACGAGCCCGACAGTCTGGAGGCCATGCGCACGGTGCTCTCTGAGGGGCCGGAGCCGACGCCTGGCCGCCGCGCGGCGCCCTGCTCCCCGCACCCGGCGGAGCTGGAGCCGGCCGTACTGCTGCACCTGGAGCGGTGCGCGCACAGAAAGACCCGCCGACAGCTGCAGCTGCTCCAGAACAACGCCAGGTCAGTCAGACGACGGATTCAGGCCAGCTAGAGAACGGTGTCAGGTCAGTCAGAGGGCAGCGCCAGGGCAGTTATAGAACAACGCCACGTTTATCTGAGCAGTCGGGACAGCGCCAAAGTGTTTGTACTGGCAGCTATACGCAGTTCAGCCATTAAACGCACGTCAGTTTTATGTTAACGTCTCCCTTTTCTGACTGTGCTCACGAATCTCCCACACAATTCACTTTCATCAGTCATTCAAAGGCCGTGGACGACCGACGCATTGGTATCACTCCCTGCGCGCCCGCGCCACGCTAGACTTACGCCCTCCCTATGTAATGAGGTGAAAGTGTACTATTCGTGCCGGTCCGTGGAGTGAAGCCACTGACTTCACTAGCCTGTTGTGTAGTCCGTGCACTATTAAAGTTCTTTCAAAGCCATCAACTCGCGTGAACTGCCCATGGATGATAAAGAGGTTCGATCTATAGCGTTTTCGGCGTATGTACTGTGACGGCTCGGTTAGACAATGGAGAACGCCACACAGCGTGGTTGTGGTGACCGTGGCTGTGTCACGCGAGACTTGGAGACGGCGGGAACGGGTAGGTGCTGAGCACAAAGTCGAACACACTGTCTACTTACAGAGACACGCGACTCCTGCAGAGTCCTGCCACCGGAACGGCGGCCCAATCGTCAGCCTTCGCCCGTTCCGCTGTCTGCGCGCGGTGACATTGCAGAGGTTATTGGGCGGATGTTGGAATGGCCCGGGGCTCACCTCACAAGGTCTCGTTCAACCACCTGTTGCGCGCCGTACCGGCAGCCGCAGACGGACAGACTCGAGCTCAGAGAGCTGTTCCGACGGAGCGCTGCGGTCACCTCTCTGGTTCCCACGGTGACCACAAGGAGCGTTTGACAAACAGTACCTGCGGCAAGGTGCTTCTCTGCCCAGTGTTATTGCAAGGTCATTGCGAAGTTTCCCTGAACGATGAGAAACAAGACAGTTATTATGTCATGCAGTACCTACCGCAGACTCTCTCTCTCCCTCTCTCTCTCTCTCTCTCTCTCTCTCTCCCCCTCTCTCTCTCTCTCCTCTCCTCTCCTCTCCTCTCCTCTCCTCTCCTCTCCTCTCCTCCCCCCAGCGCGTATCTGCCGGGCGATTGCATCCCTCACTCGTGTCTGTGGACTGATCCCCCCGGGACGTGGACTGGACTGACTCGTACAGCCGCGTGAGTCGATTATGACTGTAGACTCACCCTGAATCCGCCCGCTGCGCCCCACCAGGTCGTATGACTCGAGCGGCCGGCAGCGGGTGACCAGCCAGCCGGAGTCGCTGCACGGCGGCTCGGAGGGCAGTCTGACCGGCTCTCTGGAGACGCTGGCCTCGCTGGCCAGCTCTGACCGACTGCTGGATGAGCTCAAACTGCGCGAGATGACCATCGCCCAGCTGCGCGGCCGTGTGCTTCAGCTGGAGAGAGCGCGGCTCGACAACATCCCGCTCGACCCGGCCCGAGAGATCTCACGGCTCCAGAGCAGCGTGGTAAGAGTGGGGTTATGTTAATGGACTCTAGGTGACAGGCGAGCGCAACTCAAACTATGTCGAATGTTCTTCATTTGCATTCTTTTTCTGTGTTTTGGATGTTAAGACAGTAGTTACTCCGAGACGCACATCGCCCAGGACGGTGCCCGCCACACCTACTGCCCGGGCCTCTTGTTGCAGGTGCAGCTGGAGCGGGTGCGGGACGAGCTGACCCTGCAGAACTTCTCGCTCAAGTCGAAGCTGTCCGAGTTCACGCAGCAGCTGAGCAGCTCTGGCGTGCAGTTCCGGCTGGACCAGCAGCCGCCGGCGGGCGGCCGGCGCCCCGCAGCCGGCTCCGACTCAGGGGCCGGCGTCGGAGGGCGGAGAGGCGGCTCCGAGCACGACGCCGAGCAGCAGCGGCGCATCGGCGAGCTCGAGACGCAGCTGCACAACCAGCGCAACGAGCTGGAGCAGCTGCGCGCCGACTCTGCCCAGCTGCGGGCGCTGGAGGCGCGCCTCGAGGAGAGCCTCAGCCGGCGCGAGACCACAGAGCGGTACCTGGCCTCCAGGCAGGAGGAGCTCACCGTGCTGAAGCTGGACCTGGAGACACTGCAGGAGGAGAACACCCGGCTGAAGGACGACCTGAGTCGCGTGCTGCGCCAGGAGGCCGAGCACAGCAGCCGCCTGGTGCGGCTCAGCGACTGCGAGTCGGAGCTGGGCCGGCTTCAGGAGGAGCGCCGGCTGCTGGCCGACTCGCTGCAGCGCGAGCGCACGCTGCGCAAACAGTACTTCAACCAGATGGAGGAGCTGAAGGGCCGCATCCGGGTGTTCTGCCGGCTGCGGCCGCTGAGCGAGCCCGAGCGGCGCCAGGGCGGCGCAGCGCCCATCGACTGCGCCGACCCGTACACGCTCTGTGTCGGCGGCGACAAGGGCCAGCGAGAGTTCCAGTTCGACCGCGTCTTCACCGAGGACACCAGCCAGCAGCGCATCTTCGACGAGGTCGAGGTGAGACGACGATACAGACTTATCAGCAAAGCAAATGCGCTTCATGTATGTCAATCGTTTCTGGATTTATAACTTAAATCGTTCCAATGCCTTGTCAGAAGACTGTCGCCAGATGGCAGCCTTTGGCGCAGACTGATGTTCCCAGTCTTAGCTATCTCCGACAGTCGGTACTGACTGACACCATACTCCATTCCCCGCCATCAGTCCCTGGTGCAGTCGAGTATGGACGGCTACAACGTGTGTATCTGCGCCTACGGTCAGACCGGCTCCGGGAAGACGCACACGCTGCTGGGAGACGAGCAGGCGCCGGGCGTGGCGCCGCGCGCCTTCCGGCGGCTCTTCGAGCTGGCCCAGGCGCGCGCGGCGCAGACCAGCTGCGCCATCAGCACCTACATGCTGGAGCTGTACAACGACCGGCTGGTCGACCTGCTGGCGCCGGCCGGAGCGCGAGCAGACGAGAAACTCGAGGTGGGTCATGTGGGTGGGGCGGGGCGGGCGCGGCGGGGTGGAAGTGTCAGTCAGGCGGCACGCCACAACAGACAGCCCCGCGTGATTTGGATGATTGGTGGTGGGAAATACTCATTCGGCCATAAATATCGAGAGCGGCGCTATCCAAGTGAAAGTGGCGATGAACCGTACCGGGGATCGCCCGTCACATCGCGTAGCCAGACAACCGTCGAGAATTCCTACCAAGAAGGAAGCAAATCGGAGCCACTAGGAATTACGCGCTTTCCAAACTCGACGATTGCCGAGGCCGACCGTCTTGTCAGACATTTTTTTTTTTTGCCATTGTTAGGGGACGTTCCAAAATCCAACGTGACAACTTACGCCATCTGACTTTCCATTGCAAAGACCGACCCAATCTCACCCCAGCGTCGTTCTCCCTTTGAGTAAACAGGCCGTCTATCTGCCGTCTAATCCTGTCTTCGCCCCCCTCTCTCGCCAGGTGAAGAAGGACCGCCGGGGCACGGTGGTGGTCTCGGGCGCCGCGCTGCTGCCCTGCCAGGACGCCGCCCACCTGCAGCTGCTGTTTGAGCGCGCCGTCGGCGCCCGGCGCACTGGCGCCACGCGCATGAACGCGGCCAGCTCCCGCTCCCACCTGGTCATAGGCGTCACCGTGGAGGCCACCAGCCGCGTCAACGGCGCCGTGACGCGCGGCAAGCTGAGCCTGCTGGACCTGGCCGGCAGTGAGCGAGCCGCCAAGTCGGGCGCCGACGCCGACCAGCTGCGGGAGGCCAACGCCATCAACAAGTCGCTCTCGGCCCTAGCGGATGTCATCTCGTCACTGGCGGCCGAACAGAGCTTCGTGCCTTACCGGTGAGCTGGCGCGAGCGATAGTCTCCATCAATCCATCCACCATTGACCATAGACCTCTGTATACTGGACTAACCACAGAACAAATCTGGCCATGATATGCAGAAGTCTACATTTCCATGATTTGAATAAATCTTATTCCGATGTGGCGCAGTGGTTCCGTCACAGACGCTGCATGCTACATGTAGTACCGAAGGAGTAGTTTAAAGTCGAGAACTGAACCTCGCCGTCCCTCTGTGGTCCACAGGAACAGCAAGCTGACGATGCTGATGCAGGACAGTCTGGGCGGCAACGCCAAGACGCTGATGTTCGTCAACATCTCCCCGGCGCAGTACAACCTGGACGAGACGCTGACCTCGCTGCAGTACGCCTCGCGGGTCAAACAGATCACCAACTCGGCCGCCCGAAACGCCGACAACAAGGAGATCACCCGACTCAAAAACGTACGAACTGCGGCCGCGCTGGGGTAACCAGTCGGCTGGGCAATAGGCATGCAGCCTAGATGCCGCTTGAAAGGGCGCTAGGATGACTCCGAGTGCCTGACAAGTGACAGGGCATTGTTGTCTTGACGGGCCCATTATACATATTTGAGGAGATAGATGATGGGTGATGCTCCCTTGTCTTTCCTTTATCATATGTCCCCACTAATAATTTGTTCATAACCTGTTAATACATTATGCTATCTCTCCATCAGTTTCGCTATGTTCACTGCCGAAACTGACGCGAGCCACTGGTGCCAGTGAGCCGACCCTAACGCCCCTCTATCACGTCCACAGGTAATCGCCAAGCTGCGACAGCGGGTCGACTGCGGCCAGCCGAGTCTGGAGGAGCGTGACGAGGGCTGACGCGGCGCCCCCGGGCCCCGCCCGATCCCGGCGACTGGCCTGGGTGAACCAAAGATATATTCTGCCACCGCTGAGCGGTCTTCAGCGGGTGTGTTTGAGGACAAAGGACCGAGATGGTGCTGCCCGTGTGCGGTAGCTCGCTGTGTGCCTTCATGTGATGATAAAGCTGTCTACTGTGTGGCCACGGATGTGCGTGTCTCAGATGATCTCGTCGCTTCAATATACCGTCGTGATGTTCGATTTGGATGTATTGCTCGACTTTTCGACCGCAGCCACTCACGGCCGAAGAGTCGCACAGCGGTGAGCAGCGCCACCTACACTCACGCCATCTCATACTGTCCTCATTTACGAATAATAACGTCATTCATACACGTCCTGACTCAGGTCATAATTCGGCACTGCTGACCTGTGGCCAAGCACACCAGCCCATGCCGGCCTCAGACCCGTGTCGAGCTCACACCAGCCCGTGCCAGACTCACATCCACTCTCACACTGGCTCGCTCACAGCATCTACTTGTCTTTCTCGTCCCTCCAGCTCTCCAGCTCTTGGAGCTCCTGCAGAAACTTGGGGTCTGTGTTGCGGTGACCCCGCAGCCGACCCATCTCGTGGAACACGTTCTTCTCGTGTTTGGAGGCCGCCTTAAACCGAGCGGGGACGAAGTTCTGCCTCAGGGCGCGCGGGATGTAGCCCGGGTAGAAATCGTCCAGCCTGGCGACAGAGGAGACAGGTGTCATCGTACCGTCGGGGGCAATATGGGAGGAGACCGACTATGAGAAAAATCCACCGTACCAATCGCTGAAAAAGCACGAACTAACAGTTAAAAGCAAGAACTAACGAATTAACAGTTAAAAGCACGTTAGAGATCAACAATGGAAACAGGCCACGCTTTAGCATGCTTTACGTGCCTGCAAAGATGGCAAGGGAACTACAACTCCTTGGGGGTCGTAAGAAGAGAAAAAAACGATGTAGAACACTTCTCAGCAGAAAAGGAAGATTTTAATCGGGTGCATTGAGGCAGTCATTCCATTGACAGTCTTTAGAATTACTGTCAATGGAATGGAACGCAGACATTTTGATGTGATTTCGTTTCGACCATTTCCACCAGCGCTACCAGGGGTCGCCCAGCCACAGCCGGCGCGCGCACGCTGCCCACCTCCTCATGTCCGGATACTTGTTGAGCTCGAAGAAACGTTTGCGCGCCTCCATCGGCCGGGTCTGGAACTGGACCTTGTAGATCTTCTCCCACATGTAGACCTCGTCCTTGAGCCGGCTGCGGGGCCGGCACGACATGATGTGGAAGTAGGTCTGCAGGTACTTGGTGCGCAGCCAGTCGTCCTCCACCGCGTCTACCGGAGCCAGAGAGTAATGTCAAAAAGACGAACAACAACGAAACAAACAGGCATCAGACGCCAATACAGCCAGAGGGAAGGATTTCAGATGTCGCTAAGTCATTTAGCATTAAATGCGACGAAAGTGATGAACCGTGAAGGCTCACTAGCTCGAGTGGCGATAAACGAATTCCATCGCGGCTCAATCGATAACATGCCTATACAGCAACACACCGCCCATCCACCCCAACCCACTGCACCTGTCCGCACGTCCCCTCCTTACCGAGACTCCGCTCGGGGTCCAGGTAGGGTCGCAGCTCGATGCCGTCCCGGTCACCGGTCGGCAGCAGGTACAGCTGAAGCAGACGCTTCAGCACCTCCTCGTTCAGACCTTCCACCTGTGGAAGACCGGCAGTCGGGGCAGGTCAGTTGAGATCAGAGCATCCGCTGGCATCGCAACGGACGGGGAAACGTAGATCGGACATTAGCAACGCAACATACTAAGATGAGGTTCGGTGCCAAAAGTGGCGACAGTTAAGCGGCACTTGTCTGCATTTGAAGCTCAGTCTAGGCACACGCCACCCCCTGTCACTCACTGCAAGCAACGGCATCGTGGTACCATTTTTGCATTAGAGCGAATGACAAGCACACAATCCTAAATGTATTCGAGCGAATGCTATCATTAGCTCGAATGCATAAAATCATGCCTGATAATTTACAATTGTGGCATCTCTTAATCTCTGTCGCCCATGACTGGTACAGCTGCATCCATCACCACTCACCCCCTTTTCGGTGACGTTCTGGTAGAGCTGCATCTCTGGCAGCACCCAGCACGTGTTTCCGGGCGCACCGTGCTCGGCCGGCGTCAGCAGCGCGCCGGTGGTGTTCAGCTGAAACGCCGAGAAGGTCCAGGTGCGGCCGTCGGTGATCACCGTCTGTGTCGTCAAAGGGTACGTCAGCTCGGTCAGCGGCGAGAAGCCCACGCCGCACGCCTGCGAGAGGCATGACGCGAAGCCGCTGAGACAGGCCTGGGCGCGCAGGGCGTCGGGCCGGTCGGCGGCGGCGTGCTGGCCGTATTTGGTGGCGTGTCGCACCAGGTGTTCCCGGGTCAGCCAGTTGACCAGGCCGAACTGGCGGCCGTCCTCCGGCCACACGCCTGGCGGGCATAGGAGAGTAGCGGTCAACGGTAGCGGACAGTTATCACGTCAGTATTACTTGCCTGCATCTGATAGTGGTGATCTAATATGTTGCTACATTTGACATAATAAAAATAATGTAGCCATCAGACGATCAAGACAAGACAAGACAATTCACTGGACGTGACTCCAAGGCCGCGTTGGTTGCTATCAACCCAGACCACTATCCACAAAAAAATGAAAGTAGGTAATAAAAAATGAGCCTGGGCAAAACATCACAATAGGTTGTCTGTTAGCTGACCGGGTATGTTGGTGCCGTGCCGGAACTTGTAGGCGCACTGTCGGGTGCGCGGCTCGCGGCTGTCCATCTCCAGCGGCGGCGGCTGGTGTCCCACCGGATCCCCCTGACCGGCCAGCGCGGGCAGCGGCAGGCGGCCGCGCACCAGCAGCGCCGGCTGGCCCACGAACTGGACCGGCCGCGACACGGGGTCGTTGCGCTCCTCCTCGGGGATGTGCCGGCGAAACGAGCGCACGTGCCGCTGCCGACTGTCGGCCGGGACGTCGCTCAGCCACCAGAAGGCCTCCAGCCGCGGCGACAGGTCCGACTGAGGGGAGAGGGTGAGGGGGGTCAGTGAGAGGGGAGGGGAGGGGCAGACTGTGAGTAAGACGATGTCGCTGAACCAACAACGAGATAAGCGTAAGTATCACGTTACCGTTCAGGAGTAGTGTGCTACGATACCGTACGTACCTAGTTTAAAGAAATGCAGCATTGCAATTCTATGACATTTTCATCCGCAGCTCTTGATGTCAGTAGGCGTTATCACATGTTTCAACGCTTTAACCCGCGCCCGGCTGGGGGTCCTGGATTTCCACGCCCTGCTGGGGGGGGGGGGGTGTTTGAACACCCCCCCCCCTTGTAACTCGGCTCCTGGGCCACGTAGCGATACGCGGAAGGCGGCGTTCGAAAGAGCGTCAAAAATAATCACGAAATCACTTCGGTCAATTTTTTGGTCAGGTCAAATTTCAGGTCACCAGAGGTCATTGAAGGCAAAATTTCGCCGATTTCCAGGTCGAATGGCGAAAATTTCCAAGAAGCCAACGCATAACTCGGGAACCAATAGAGCTACAGCGCCGCGGAAAAGCGCATTCGATAGCCCTATTAACGCGCTTTCTGAGTAATTCTCTCAGATTTGACCTAACGTCAACGGTTTTGCCTGCAGGGGGCAAAAACTGCAAAAATAGCCGATTTTTTTGGAAACAGTTTTTCTGCAATAACTTTTGACCCAAGCCCTGTACGAGCTTACTTTTACCGGCATCGTGTTCCTCTCGTCAAGACGCATCGAATGAACTATAACTTGACCTTGAAAGGTCAACTTGAAAATTTGACCTCAGGTCAAGGTCATGACCTGACCGGAAAGGGTCATGTTGCATATCAGTCGATCCGTATCGTCGAGCTGAACACATCTAAGGCGTTTTCATCGCTCTAGCATGCCTCTATCAAAAGTTATTTGCGAAAAACTGTTAGATACCATTCGTGACCTAAGATGACCTCAGGGCATAAACAAGGGTCACGGACACCATTTTCATGTTCAGTGTGTCTAAACCACTTGTAATTCGGTGTTTGGGAGTGTTTATAATGTCTTTCATCCAAAAGAGGCGCATTTCAATTTTCTCCCATTGACTTATAATGGGGAGGTCGCAAAATTGACCTGACCTTAGGTCATCGATATCAAAATTCTGAGATATACATTTTGTACATGCTATTGCTCTTAGCAATCGCTGAAAGTTTCAAAGCGATCGGTCACTCGGTGTAGCTATGACAGACATTGAAACTTTTATGAGGTGAGGTCACTTCAAGTGACCTGGTGACCTGACCTTGAATGACCTTGGTCTGAAATTTTCACAACATGTGTAGAATTGATGTATGATAAGGTGTACCAAAAACGGCGGCGCTCCGCGCCGCCGTTTTTGAGATATTCGCGAAAAACCACAAGGGGGGTGTTCAAACACCCCCCCCCCAGCAGGGCGCGGGTTAAACCACGGAAAGACTACAAACGTGCGGCTAATGCGAGCCGACATACGCCGAATCGCGATTCCGGCTAAACATGGTCTCGAAAAGTAGGTCACAGGTCAAAGGTCATTTGGGCCAGGTTCATGAAATTTTCAGGGTAGGTGTAAAATTGATCGACTTGAGGGTGATGAAAGTTTCGTCGCGATCGGCCGCTTTTTACGCGAGTTATTCGCGAAAAACCGAGGGGGGTTCCGTTCCATCGTTCGACCCCCCCCCCTCTATACGGGCGACGGTTATGCAATAAAATCTTGCTTTCTTACGTACTTTATCGAATAAGTACATTTGCGTGCCGACATACCTTTTATCCTCCGTGCTGAATATATGCAAACTATTTCCTCAAATCACGAAATTCACCCGACCTATAGTTAAATACAAGCACCGCGATGCAGCGCTCTTATCACTGATTACTGATTAGCGACCGAATGTCCGTGAATACTCGCGTGGGGTTCAACAACCAATGACTAACCACGTAGTTCTCAATTAATACCAAATGGGGAATGTTGTGAAAAAGGTTGGCATCTGATGTCATCATGTGCTTAGCATTTGTACCATATTTGCAAATAGAACCACTCTAAGCATATGGAGATTTTATTGGGCAAATGAGGCATTAATATCAAAAGATATTCCAGTGTGCAGCATATAATTGCAGACCCAAATGACATAATGAACATGTTTGTGATGAGGGAAGACTTTCTAAGCAAGTCATACCATAGCATAGAATTAGAAGAATTATTCATGTTAAAAAACAATAATACCTGGAGCTAAAACAGTGTTGACTGCCTAATTTGTAGGTACATAAAGAGCAGTCATGGATTAGTTACCTGTGAGTCAGCTATGTGGTCTGCCTGATCACTCAGCAGGCTGACCAGAGCGTGGTTGATCGCCCAGATGATGTTGTCACTGGTCTCCTTCTGCTGCCGGCTTTCAACTCTGTCTACTTTTGGCCTGGAGACAGATTAACCAGTGAAGAGTTAGGCAGGTACCTAAAGCTCCTTCCAGCATTACAACAATGTGTTGTATCAAGCTGGCAAGCTGACCACTTCCTTGTTAAGTTTAAGTAAAAACTTTTTAAAGCATTGGTATTGCGTAGCATCATTGTGCTTATTTGCACATCAACATGCTTCAATTGTCTTTGATATAGCATTACGCCTCCATTATTTGTCTGATTAGATCCCTTCCAATAAGCATACCTACAAACATTAACCAACAACACAATGTGTTTGTAATTAATGGCATTACCTATGGCAAAGCTCCAATAGAAAAATATCCTCAACCTTTTTCTTCAGGACAGGGAGGAACTTATTCACTTCATCATCAAGAGTAGAGTAAACATTTGGCCATGCTTCCACAACATTTGTCCTGGTTGCAAACTGGATAAATTCTGCATGGTTGTAATGCACATCATGAGGAGAGAGCTGACAAGCCCAGTGTCCATAATATCTTGACATGTTCAGTTCAAGTTGTTTCTCCTGAACTGTTGGAAGGCTTTGGATGAGCTTGTGCCATTGCTGGGTTTCGCGATCTTTAGTAGCTTTGAATGACGTATCCAGCACGGGAGGATACTCGGCTTCAGTTTCTCCAGCCTGCTTGACATCACTGACATTATTAGAGGAACTTGTTGTAGCAAAACACCGACTATTTATCCCCTTTTTGAGTAAATTTAGCCTCAGAGCCGAGCTACGACATGTCACAGCCATGGAGGCCGCCATGTTTACTAAACCAAGTGTACTGAAAACGTGCTGAAAACTGGAAAACATCTAATCAACATTTGATACTTTTAAAGAAATTTGATCTTTGAAACTCAAAAATAAAAACTGCAACATAAAATATACCGGAAAAAGATTTTTTGCTACAAAACTTTGCAAGTTATTTGTAAAATTAATCAAGAAGGAAATAAATGATGCGACAAACACGCCGCACTGAGACAAACAATTTTACTTGTCTCTGAGGAGATTTGCATTGTGTGGGAATATGATAAGACATTGCGCAGCGGGTTTTATTGTTTTCAGTCGTTTATTGCCATGTGAATACATTTATTTGAAATAATTAGCCAGGGAAATGTCAGCTTGGAACTCCATGAGGCCGACGGAGCTGAAGTTGACGTTGGAGCCAGCTATGGAGTGTTGAACTGAGATGCAGTCATTGCAAGCCAATGTGAACTAAGCCTTTGTTGAAAGATTTTCAGCTTCTAGCTGTTTTCACTTTTGCTGCTTGTTTTCATTTAATCATCATGTCTGAAAAGGGAAAATCCAAAGGGTAAGTAAATGCCATTTCATTCTTACAATTGACTATCAATTAGAGTATGATTGTTCAATCAAAATGGCCGAGGTAAGTGGTTACATTCCGAACTGCTGTAGTTCATACATCCGGGATGCAGCCCTGGTTATCCTAATCATTTTCTCACCTTTTTTGGATTAATGGTTAAGATCCTCTTTCAATATGGACAACAAGTTCCATCAGCAGAGCCCACAGCCCAATCAATATTCACAAGTGCCGTGGTTTTTATATTTTGATGGGTGTTGAAATTCAGATGATAATATGCATGGGTTATAGGTACATGCTGAAGGTTTTGGATATCATAGATACAAGACTGAGGGTTGTTATTCATTGTCATGATCCAATGTTAGTTGTCCTTTTCACTAGTTCATAATTAGTATACATGGCTGCAAGCCTGCAGTGTTTAAATTGGACAAATACCATAAACTATGTCTAATCTAGCGCAATCTGTCCTAGTCTTCTTTAAAGGTTTTTCAGTTACTTTCAAATAATTTTAGTGGGTAAAAGTATGTCCTTGACAATTATTGATTTTCTATAAGGATAATCAGTTAAATAATTGAGGCTGTTGGCAAATTACTAGAACCACTTAATTCAAATAAGAAACACTGGAGTCTGAGCTGGATTTGGCCAATGGGTAACTTATATTAGTACCTACATCAGACTATCATTGCATCCATAACATAAACAGATGCTTGCATAATTATCAATGAAACTAGGTAGGTATACAGTAATGCCACTACAAGCTCTCATCATTCAGAGCTCAGTTGAGAATGCTTGACACATGTTTGCCAAAGCCATGTCAAATTAATTAACAAGGTTCAAGCAGAGGCATTAACATGTAGCCTCTCTTTTAACATTTGATCCCAGACCCCCTACTGACCTGGAAATTTTTACACACAATTGTGTTGGGCTAGATGATATGGAATCCTAGGAGACTGTAGTTAGGACAGGTAAGTAGCTTCAATAGCACCATTTGTCTAGGTTTACAATGTATTATCAGTCACAAGAGGTGAAATGTGGTTGAGTTGAGCATGCATGCAAGTGCAACTTTATAAGCCCATAGGCATATCGTGGATGCTAGACACCCTGAAGAGGTTAGTTGCATCTAAGAAAAGTCCCTGCTTTGTGGTAGCTATCAATTAGGTGTCTTTGATTTCAGCCTGGCCTTTTGTAGAAGTAGATGGACTATTCGGGTTTCAGGTGCTAGTTAAACTGTTTTAAAAATGACAATTGTTTTTCATTTTAAAGCTACCTGCTTTTCAAAGTAAAAACGTGTGCACTGTCATACTGCCACTGTTCATACTGATACCACAGCCCACAGTCCATGAATTTTTTTTTCAGATAAAAGAGCACATCCTTGTCAAAGGCGAACTCTTGTATGATGCTACTCATGTTAGAATGGCAAATTTGAAGCATTTTGAGGAACAATTAATTATGTCAAATATTAATTCAGCCACAGATGGCACCTCCCCGACGGTTTTCTCGTGATTACTCGGAACACGTTAGAGATAGAGAGCGTTGGACTTCGCGAAAGCACGCGTTCCCGGTTATAACAGCCCGGGCTCGAAGCGCGACGGGCGCTTGACGTTTATGAGCCGAGCCTCCTTACAGGTATGGTTGCGGTTGGTGGCAGGCCGCAGCCAGGCGAGGTCAGTGAGGGGACCGGCCGTGCGCGGCTATGTGCGCACGTTAAAGGTAGTGTGCCACCTTTGAAAGATTTCCAATTTTATTTTTCCTAGGATAAGAAGCTTCTGTTTTTACCTAATATCGCAAAAAAAATCAAAAATGGGCCTGGAATAGTGCCTTTTTCGCCAAAAAGTTTATCGGTTTTTCGATATGTATAACAAATGTAGTGGGCTCACCTGCAAACAGGCGTCGGCAACAATCGCGAATGCGGCGCACATGTGACAATAAGCAAAGGTCATTATAGTGTTACGACGTACGGGAATGAGTTATCAGCTGTCTAATCGTAGACAACACAATGTCGAGCCTTAAACTGTAAGCCTGTAATGGTATTGTTTCTTTTATTTGGCTGTCGAACATTATTCATGGTTTGAAATATGATTTTATGTAAAATAATTGATATGAAAAAGCCGTCTCATAAGTTATGACCCCATTTCACCGCACGCAAGTGGCAGAAATGACCATGATCAGCTGACGCATTTTTCTTGGCCGAAGTCAGAGCGCGCAGCCCGACGCGCCACCACCGCACCACAAAGTATGAGCAGAAGCCGCGCCCAAAGCCAGGGCCCCGGTAACGTGAGGTAGCCGAGTCGGGGCAGCGTGCGCTGACCCAAGCCGGGGCCGCAGCTTTGGGCGCGGTCTACCGCATCCCCGCGGGCAGCCCCGGGCTATCACATGACACCGGGAGGACGCGCGGCTCCAGCTTGGGTCAGCGCACGCTGCCCTGACTCGGCTACCTCACGTTACTGGGGCCCTGGCTTTGGGCGCGGTCTACCGCACCACCTAACAGGCGTGTTCGAAACCGCAGGAGCTGATGATGAACGGGTTTATCGAAACTTGATTGGATGAGCCTATCGGTAATAGCGATTTCAGTGTGTGCATTTATTGTTCATAGTGGTGTGAAATGTGGTTGGGGTACGACCGACAACCCGTCGGGGCGAATTTCGCACTGGGGTACTCAAAATTTGAAGAAGTTAAGACGTTTCCATGAGTTTTGAAGGTATGGATAAGTTCTAAAAATCCGGTTCTCCTTATCTGGGCCATTAACTCCATACGGTCCAGGAAAGCTGGCACACTACCTTTAAACTTTGGACTCCAAATTCTGCGATAGAACCGGAATTGCACGATCGGAGGGTAGAGGGCAGGGCCAACGCAACAAGCTTCGCTTAGTGGGGGCTCTGCCATTGTGAATCCTTCCATTCAAAAGGTTCGGACTAAATTTATTTAAAAAAGTAATATGCCGAAAACCGGACTCCTACAATGGCATTGGTACTTGATCTGACCTCAAACGTCTCTGCATATTAATATCCTAAGTTGTTTTATGGAAAACTGATATTTTGCATTTTATTTATCATGTGGATTCGTTTTGACTGGGCCATTGCCATATTAGGTCTGTTCCATCCATGACGTGGACACTGGACAGTGGAAACTTGTGCTCAAGGTTTTGAGAGCCCAGCCTGCTCGGGTCGTTCCAATGGTTCATAGATGAAACTGCTTACAGGGATGGTGTGTGATTTTTTAGAAAAATAATTCTGTGCCTTTTTAGGTAGGCAAATACACGGACCGTACAGCATAATTTTGGCACGCTTTCGAAAATTCTGCCGATTCTCAGTGTAACGGTCGGACGATGTAGGTCAGAGCCAGAGGTCGCACGAGAAGTTCGTATACTGTTGTGCGGATACTGGTTTAGCGACTCTGTCTTTTCAAGACACACCAACTAAAACTGACCCTTCGTCATGCCACATCCTATCGATAAGATACGAGCTGTGCACCTCGGTCGGTTGGTGTTCCGGGGGGTAGCGCGGCGTCACATTACTGGAAGCGCGGCGTCCGGAGGGGCCGGGCATCGACACGGCCGGACGTTGCGTCCCTATCGCGCCGCATATCCGGCGAGCGGCCGCACTCGGCGACCGGCGGGGCTCCGCGGTGGTACAGACTTCCCTGTGATTACGCTCCGGGCGCGGCACGACGCGCGGCCAGTCCACCGTCCACTGGCGTGTCGTACTCGTGGTTTTGTCCGCTGGCCTGCCCACCTCTGACCGTCGAGTCCTCCATTGGTTTGCCGGACCAACTCGTGGTTTTTACTCTGGTGTGTCCATCTGACCGCCGAACTCCAGACGTCTGGCCGGCTCAGTGGTGGTCGGCAGGCCGCCGGGACGGATGTGTGAGAGTGCGGACCGGCTCACTAGTGCTGCGTGTTCAGGCCGCCGGGCCGTGGTGTCCAGTGCGTGAGGGGAGGCCGGCCACCGTGGCGGCCGTGCTGAGTGACGGCGGCGGCGGCGGCGGTGCGGAGCGGCAGGACACCGCCGCAGACTCCGACGGCATGGTGGTGCTCCGGCGCAGCGTGCGCCGCCGCAAACTGGGCTGGCAGGCCGGGTAGGTGCCCAGATTTGCTGACAGTCGAGATAGCTGGGCTGGCGGGCGGGGTAGGTGCCCAGGAGGGCTGGCAGGCGGGGTGGGTGTTACACTGGACCGGCAGGCGTGGTAGGTGTTATACTGGGCTGGTAGGCGGGGTACGTGTGTTACACTGGGCTGGCAGGCGGGGTAGGTGTTACAATGGGCTGGCAGGCGGACTAGGTGCCCATGAGGGCTGGCAGGCGAGAGGGCCAGGAGGGGAGGGTGTCACGCTGGACCGGCAGGCGGGGTAGATGCGCCGTGGGTGGGCTGTCGGACTGGATAGGATGGCTGGCAGCCGGCAGGGTATGTAGGTGTTAAACTGGGGTGACAGGCGGGTGGGTGCGTAGCTTAGCTGGCAGACGGGGTAGGTGCAAAGTTGAGCTGACAGACGGGGTTAATGCCCATTTAGACCTGCGAGTGAGAAAGGTGCCCGTTGGGCTCGTAGACGGAATTTAAATATGTCTCGACTGGCTCGCACTTGCAGGCGGGACATTTTCCCCGGTGGGTTCGCAACTGGGATGGTGGGACTGTATGGGCAGCGAGCCATTTGAAACTACTATTTAGAAGTGTTTGTGCAAATGTTTATCTTGCCTTAAAAAAGCGGCTCGAACTATTTCCATAGGCGTTCAGATGCGTTATTGAAGAAATGGGAAGGTGTGCAATGCTCTTAAATGAAACTGTTGGAGGCGTGCTAACTGTCCCATAAAACTCACAAAGAGACGCCGTATATGAAGTCCTCGAGTGAGACGTGAAAGGCAATGTCGTAAAATGTCGAGTCTGTTGCTCTCAGATAGGTAGTAAAAACCCTCGCGGCCCACATCAGCTGTCTTTTTCGCCGAGAATAGTGTCAACAATAGCCAGTTCGTATACACAGCGCAGCTGAAATCCGCCCTAAAGTGCGACAGAATGAAATATGCATGTTGTTATGTCTTCATTCCACGCCTTTCGTTTCATCCGTCAACTATGTTAATGTTTCTTACTGATCACTGAACTATTTTTGGTTTTGAAATGACTACACACCAGGGTTGTGCTCGACTCAAAAAAATTTGCCGACTCGACTCATCATTCAACTTCAGAATGCCCTGACTCAACTCTGACTCAAACAAGGAGCTGATTTTTTCCCTTGACTCGACTCATGACTCAAGCGGCTCAATGAAAATATGAGTTGACTCAAACTTGACTCAAATTTTTTGTTGAGTCAAGTGTGTTGACTCAAAATTGACTCAGATAAGAAAGTTGTTGAGCGGGGGGGAGTGAAAAAATCCGGCAACAGGGCCAGGCCTAAGTTGTTAAGCGGGGGGAGAATGAAAAACTTATACTATATATTGTTTCTAGAAAGTTGAGTCAGCTGACTCATGTTCCTAAATGTTTTTGACTCAACTCAATGTCAAAAGCTATTTTACTGACTCAACTCTGACTCAACTCAACACCTTAATATTTTTGTCCGACTCAACTCTGACTCAACTCAACAGCTCAACATTTTATCCGACTCGACTCAAATCTGACTCATTTGAGTCAGAGTTGAGTCAAATTTCTGACTCGACTCATGAGTCAAGCACAACCCTGCTACACACAATATTATATGGCACAATGATCCGATTTGACCTTGCATTACCTGCAATTTCTAGTTTATCTGTAATAATGATAGAGGTGCCTCGAAGTTATATAAAATTTCAGTAGCTACCGTTTACAAGTGCTATCCTCGAAAACCTCTCTTGGTATACCTATTTATCGCACCCTCCTCGGTGTCTGTGAAGCTCAAAACGTGTTTGTGTCCTGCTCTCAGTCTACCGAGTGTTTTCTGACCGACGTTTGTTTCTGACTGCTTCTGACCGTTTCTGACCAACGTTTGTCCGTTTGTTTCAGCGAGCTGAAGAAGCTCTCTGAGGAGAGCTTGGCGCGGCAGCCGGAGGAAGTGTTCGACATCATCTGCAAACTGGGGGAGGGGTGAGTAGTGCCGGGCTGGCTAACCGAGGTCCGTGTTGGGTCAGAAGTGCAGGATTGACGTGTGGCTGGGAAAGGATAAGTTATGCTGGGTTACGCTGCGTAATTGGGGAGGGCTTTTTGGGCCTTCTACTCAGCACCGACCGTGTATGACCGGGTTGAGCGCCACTCCCAGTTCCGCCTTCCCCACGCCGTTTGCCTTCCCCACGCTGTTTGACGTCACCCTGTTCGCTTCCCTCAGGTCGTATGGCTCCGTGTACAAAGCATTACATAAGGAGTCAGGCCAGGTCCTGGCCATCAAGCAGGTACCTGTCGACACCGACCTGCAGGAAATCATCAAAGAGATCTCCATCATGCAACAGTGCGACTCGCTCTACGTGGTCAAATACTACGGCAGCTACTTCAAAAACACCGACCTATGGGTGCGTACTGAACGTGCGGCTTGTGCGGTAGCCCCCACGACCCGAGATCGTCGGTCCGGTTCCGTAGGCCCGGCCGATGGTCCGAGACCGCGCCTGGTCCGGCGGCTCTGGTGTGATGGCGTGCCACGTGCGTGGCTGGGCAGGGCGGGGCGGGCAGCCGACAGGATGGGCGGCCACCCGGGCGAGTACTTAACTAATGAGCTTTGTTCAGTAGAAAAATGGACCCGCCGCCACCGTCACACCGCTGTCACTGTCGCATGCATTGGCGACGGTTTGCGTTAGTGTAATTCGGTGGCATCTAGTTCAATTTCTGCCGGTGATCGATAACACGAAAAACTGAATTTATGTGTAGAATGATCTAGCTCAGACTGACCCAGGCATTCTCAACGGCTCCATGCCGCGGTAACTCGGTATAAAATGATAAACGCCGTGCCTGCAACGTGGAATCACCCCCCCCCCCCCGATGTTACGCTGTCCCCATCCATATCACGAGTCCGACTTAATTTTATTTCTTTCGGTCGTCAGATCGTGATGGAATACTGCGGCGCGGGCTCTGTCAGCGACATCATGAAGCTGCGGAAGAAGACGCTGTCTGAGGCCGAGATCTCCACCATCCTGGCGGATACACTGCGCGGCCTCCAGTACCTGCACCTGCGCAGGAAAATACACAGAGACATCAAGGCCGGCAACATACTGCTCAACAACGAGGGGCACGCCAAGGTAGGCCCGGTGCTATCCCGCTCGGTTGGGTGTCATTGTGACCAAGCCGAGTCTTCATATTAGTTGTACCCAAAGCGTCATCACTTCAATCTCTAGGTTCGTTCTTTTTGTGGTTTGTGCATTCATTGTTGCCGCGTTATTCGACTGATGTTCTGTTTGTGGTTGCTTTGCTATGCGAGTTCTTGTCTGTTGCTGTGGAACATTTTCTGTCCGATCAGTCGTTTTCTGTGACCGTGGCGGTTTTTATAGTGTATCTATGACCCATTTGCGGTGACTGCTTCTCAGGCCTTCTGAGCGCCCGCCCTTTTTCTGACGCTAGGGTTTGTGCGGTCGGCGCTGCTGAGCTCTGACGTCGTTTTTGTGTGTTCACAGTTGGCCGATTTCGGAGTGGCTGGTCAGCTGACCGATACGATGGCCAAACGGAACACAGTGATAGGCACCCCCTTCTGGATGGCGCCGGAAGTAATACAGGAGATCGGTGAGTCCACGTACCGGCTGGCGACGTGGGGAGGGTCGATGGAGCACGTTATGCTTGAGTCCCTCCGGTAGCAACACACATGGCTACCGCTCATTTTTTTATAGATAGTTGACAAGTAAGTGTTTCGACTAGTTTGAATAGAGCAGCGCCGATCGCTCTTTTCGGACCATTGCTGACTGCTACCGATCGCAGTTCAGGTCTTCAGCCAGCCCTGTTCGTGTCTTTGACGCCCCGGCCCGTCTTGCTGTTCGTCTGCCTTCCAACTCCGTTCGCCCCCTGACCCACTATATCGCTCCGGCCCGTCTGTCTACCATCTGACGCCCGGATCATCCATCCCTCAGGGTACGACTGCGTGGCCGACATCTGGTCGCTGGGTATCACGGCACTGGAGATGGCCGAGGGTCGGCCGCCGTACGGCGATATCCACCCGATGAGGGCCATCTTCATGATACCCACCAAGCCGCCGCCCAGTTTCCGAGACCTCAACCAGTGGTCCGCAGAGTTCATCGACTTCGTACAGCGGTGAGTCGACGTGCTTCGGGCCTTAAGGATCTTATTCGCTCGACGGCGTGGCATTATTTAAACTTGTTTGACACAGTTAGTATGGCTTGGCTGAAATGAAATGCCTATCCCCGTTGCAGGTTAGTGAGTGAGCTTGCCGCACCGTCTGTAGCCCGATTCTGGCACGCTTCGGTGCGCTCTAATTTAGCTGCATCTCACACCTTTCCAGTGAGAGATCTGTTAACTCTTACGCCTCCCAGCCCCAGTTGCTCTTCTCGTGACCCGTCCTCTGCGCACCACCGTCAGGTGTCTGGTGAAAAACCCGGACGAACGGGCGACGGCCACCGAACTGCTGGACCACCCGTTCATCCGGGCCGCCCAGCCAGCGCCGGTCACCCTGACCAGGATCATCCAGGAGGCGACCGAGGCACGCGCTCAGCAGCAGCTGGCCAAGAACAACAAACTGATCCACATCCAGCCGGAGCCGGCCAGTCAGAGCCAGGTGAGACAGACTCCAGAGTCAGAGCCAGTGTCAGATGAGTCAGAGTCAGGTGAGAGGCGGCGCAGAGCTAGAGACAGGCGAGTCAGTGCAGAGCCAGGTGAGCCAGAGGTAGAGCCAGGTGAGCGATGGGTCAGAGGCCGTCGGAGGTAGGCGATTGGCTGACCTCTCGTCTTCCTCTGACTGCCGTGGTTTCCAGAGCACGGAGTGACCGTCCGCATTCCTACCTCAGATATCCTAGCGTTCGTCAGGTCGTTCAGGACTGCCGGTACCCGTTCAGGACTGCCGGTACCCGTAGTTGTTCGAAGGGTCAACGTGGGCAGGGTCAGAGCCGGGTGGTAGGCGTTTCCAGCGACTCTTTGACATGGGTCTGGGTGGGTCAGATGATGAGAAGTCAGACAGGGACCTTGTAACGTTGTCGGCCATTGGCCCTCCGCTTGTCAAGAAGTCGCCGGACGCTGTGGTTTATTGCATCTTCACCCAATGAGATATGTCGGTCTGGCGCTGGGCATCAATAGCTTTTCTTGCTATTGCATGCAATGTATTGGATCTTTCAAATAAATTTAGCATTTTTGTCAATTTATGAACCAGTTAAGTACCTAACCATGTCTCAATGTCAGCCACAGTACGTCGCAGTGTCTGTGCCCTCCGCTGCGTGTTTCCGTTTACGACTGACCCGGGCCCATCCCTCCCCGGCAGCCGCGTCTGGAGCCGACCGAGAGCCAGGAGACGATGCGGCCGGCCGACCCCGGCACGCTGGTGCCCGGCGACACGGGCACCCTGGTCACGGACGGCACGCTCGTCTCGGTCGCCTCCAGCCTCAACACGATGCTCATCAACTCGGACAGCGACGAGGACGAGGCCACGATGAAACGTTAGTGACAATATTGTGTCTGTCTAGTTTCTCCTCATATTTCTCTTCTGACTTATCTGTCTCGACTGTATCAGTTTTCTCCATCTTTCCGTCGCAGGAGTCACACGCAGTCTGATGTAGTTCAGTTCTGGGCAGAGTTTGAATAACGTTTTGGACTAACCTGGCTCACGTAATGTCGGCTTTTTGTTAGCTGGTTGATCGGAGTCGTAGCCAAGAGCTGTCTTATAAAGTCGCTTCTCCTGTGCTCACGGTCAGTTTCCGATAACTGTGCTGTTATCGCCGTTGCTGTGTCGGCTGCATGACGTCAATTGACGCACCCTTCCGTTCTGCAGGGCACGATACGGGTAACGGCAGCCCCAAGTACCGGCCGCTCTTCCTGGACCACTTCGACCAGAAGGAGGCCGAACAGCGGGTAAGTCCCCTCCATTCCCCTTCAAACCGTCCCATGTTCGACCCCCCATGCTGACTCGTCTCCCAGATTGTCGGCGGCTTGTGCTGCCTGCCTTTGCCTCTGCGCTTCTCGTCGTAGGAGTTTTGCTTTTTTATGTTCGCTGCGAACGTATAGGTAGAGTGGCGTACTCGATTGGCTAAGGACCTGGAGCGGAATTGTTGTGTGTTTAAATCGCAGCGCTTGGCGCACGGCTGCTAGCCTGTCGCTTCCATCGCGGAGGACGCTGCTGCTCGACGATCGTCTGCTCTCTGGCTTACGGCGTGACGGCTGCTTTCAGCGTCTGTTGCAGCAGCAGCAGCAGCGGCAGCAGGCGGCGGCTGCAGCGTCACAGGCGCAGTCGCCGCTGCAGCCCCCGGCGGCGGCGGCCGAGCCGGCGGGCGCGGCGCCGGCCGCCTCTCTGCCGCCTCCTCAGCCGCCGCCCGGTCAGGAGTACCACCCCACACCGCGGCCACAGCAACTGGAGGGCCTGCACCAGGAGCGAGAGCGGGCACTGTATCAGGTATCGTCAGATTGACAGAGCGGGCACTGTATCAGGTATCGTTACAACAGGGCACTGTACCACGGCGCACCGTCAGGAGAGCAGGACCAGATAAAAAGTGTCAGGTAGTCAGTGGGAGGCATCCTGATCCCACTAGGTACTGGCCATGTTATTTGATCATTCGCAGACTGCAGAGCTGCACTACTCCTCCCGTCCACCCGTAGGTTATTTGCACCCAAGATTTCTACATCAGCGCCGCCAGGACTGCAGAACATCACGTGCTACTTGTTCCGCCAGGTGCCGCAGTCTGGTGCCGTGTCGTCACCCGCCGCTCGGGTGCTAGGAGCCGGCCTGGCGCCGCCGGCGGGGCCGTCCGCCCCCGCCCCCGCCCAGGCTCTGCCGCCCCAGCCCCAGCCCATCCCCGACCTGGCGCCAAAGCTGGGCAGGAGCCAGTTCATGGACACGTCTTTCGAATTTGTGAGTACACTGGGGCGGGCGGATGGCCGACAGACTGGGAGTCATTGTTTTTTTTCCATTCCGGTAATGTCTTTAAGTTCTTATATCACGTTTGACTAAGATGACTGCTTCATGGATGTCGTGTTTGCGTTGCGAGCGTAGTATTATCCATAAATCGCGCGTATGTCAGCTGGTGACCTATGCTACGGCTGTGTGCGCCGGACAGCCACTAACGTTTGTTTCCCCGTCCCTGCCGGCAGATCCGTTTTATGAGCTACGACAAGCTGCAATCGCGAATGAACAGTCTCGACTCGGAGATGGAGCGCGAGATAGACGATTTGAAGCGGCGCTACATGGCCAAGCGGCAGCCCATTCTCGACGCAATGGATGCCAAACGCAAACGGCAGCAAAACAGCCAAAACTTCTAGTGTGGTCGCCGCGAGGCGCGCAGTGTCGAGCGAGTGTGCCGGACCGAGCCGGCCGGCGCGCCACCGGTGCCATAGAGCGCGCGGCCCGGCGGCCACCGGTACCGCCACCGTCTCTGCGGGTCTTAGCTGATAGCACGCCGCCACCGGCCAGAGAACTTTTAACGACAGCGAGGCCAGCGCCCGGCGTTTTAGTGCGCGCTCTGTGCATATGACTGTGCCGAGGAGTCGGCCCGCCCAGAGCGGGGCCGGCACCGACTGTTTAACCTATCATGAGCGTTTTATACATCGCTGGTCAATACACTAACATGAGAGGATCGACAATACGGATTTATGTGAGTATATATCCTGTATCATGCTGGCCAGGAGTGGTATCGTCTCATAAATCCCGACTTGATGAACGGTCTTAAAAACCTTTCAGTCCAGCCCATACTTCCTCTCATATTTCCAGCAGTTACTTTCTGTGTCATCGTTTATTCAACAACTATTCATCATCATGAGCCATGAACAAGACACCGGCACAGTTGCATGTAGATGGTCTGTTGGTCAGCCCGGCCCGCCCGCAGATCCAAGTGTGACGTCTGATCCTCTCCTGCCTCATCCTCAGCCTCAGCGGTCAGCCGACCGGCTGAGTCCCGCGCGGCGCCTCACTCGGCGTCCGGCTCCAGGTCGGAGATCTCCTCGTCTGAGGCGGAGGCGGCGTCCGAGGCGGCCTGGTGCGTGAGCACCTCCAGCTGTCCGCCGCTGGTCCAGACGGCGTGCAGGGTGACGCGGAACTCGGCCTGCTGCTGGCCCAGCAGCTTCTGCCGGGACGGCGGCGACGGCGCCGGTCAGCAGCCGACACGGGACCCACAGCGACAACCACCACTCACCAGGTACCGGTCCACGGCACACTAAACATTACCATTTCACAGCTGCGTTTTACGATACAGTGACTCGCGCCAATATGCTGTTGCGTTTCAGTGGATCTAAACACGCGTGATTGAACTGAGATGTTAACTGGGATCAGGGCTTCTTTTAACTTGTTTGAACGACAGACCCTTCGCAAAGTTAAGCAGTGCCCAAGGAAACGGTGAAAAAAAGTAATAAAGATTCCTTCCATAAGAGGTTATCTATTACCCTTCTCGAAAATACGCTACTGCCTAACGTCATAAGGAACAAATTTCAACAGCTGATCTGCCAATCGGCATCCATTTCCCGGATAATTTGTTCAATCAAACTATCCGGACAAATTAGCTAGTTCCGAGCACAAATCGTACGCTGCCTTGATAACAAATCAGCACAAGAGCAGAGAGCTGGAAATAAGAAAGATGAACCAACCAGCGCTTGCTCCAAGTTGTGGTGAACTTCTTTCAGAATATATTGATGGACTGCCTAATTAATTCCATCACAAAATGCTTCGGTGTGAAATTCTGATGTCTCATGTGTTTATAGAAAACTACCTTATCAAGTGTGGATGTCGGGATACTGTAAAAAAAACGACGGGCGAGCAAGATCTTACCAGTATTCTGCACTGTTCTGGCTTCAGCGTGTCTCCTTTTCTGCACACCACGTGGTCTTTTACTAGGGAAACCACGCCTGCAAAAACAGCACGTAAGTTGTCATGACAATCGTTCCGCGAAGGATCAATCGTTACACGCCTAACACTTGCAAATTATGAAAAAATGATCGCCAGCATCACCCATCGGAATCCCTTCGACCACCACGGATTGCAACTTAGAGCGCTGCCATAAACTCGGGTTGATGGTACCGTCAGCTGCCCCGCCCCTGACATCACTCTAGGGTGTGGTGATTCATTTCTCCCCGAGGCCGTACCTTTTATAGCATAGTGAGCGATTCACCCCCAGACCGTACCTCTTTTGAGCGTGGTGGGCAGCCCGAGCTGCCGCAGATGCGGCTCCAGGCTGTGGGGGAACTGCGCGAGCGGCCCCTCGGCCAGCTCCACCGTCTCAGTAGCCACGTTGCCGGAGCGGGCGTACTCTGGACAGCTGAACTCGCCGAACCACCTGTGGATAGGTGATCCCGTGAACAGGCCGGACCGAGACCGGCCCCGGCCGCCCCTCAGACCTGCCCTGCTGGAACATGAGTTTCACTACACTATACCTTAGCCAAAAGCAGCCCAGGTCAGACCACCAATTTCAAGTAGCCTTAAAGGGACTATCCCACCTTTAACATGGGGTTTGAGTTGAGATAGCCAAGTTTGCGGCGAGGTTCAGAAACCACTATCCATCTAGGTTGCAACCCCCGCGGCCTCTTGGTGTTGAAGAAATTCGTTCCCTTCATTTGAAAATGGGCCTTGTACAAAGCCCTATCTTCAACATGGAGCGACCGTTAGTGTGACGTCACCTCGTTTAGTCATTCTGATTTAAATGGGTTTGTTCGTTGAAAAATCGCTTAAAACTTGGTCTGAACTTTGTTGTGGTGCCTACAGAGTAAAAAGAATCAGCTTTATGACAGTAATGTGGCCTGGGGAAGGAGGTAATTTTGGGCTGTGACGTCACATATTTGAAAGTTTGTGTTTGGAATATGGGAAGCCTAAGATGTTTAATGAAAAATAAATGCCAGAACCGTGTTCCTGGTCATCCAATCTATAAAGTCGGGCACAGTTTAACTGGTTTTAACAACATTTTAGAAGGTGGGATAGTCCCTTTAACCCTATTAGTGGCAGGCTCCTGGCTACCCCCTATTAGTGGCAGGGGGGGGGGGCTGTTTACGACCCCCCCTTGATATCTCGAGATCTAACGGGCCGATTTTCAAAATTCAAACGGCATTCGATTTCGCTCAACGTGATCTACATTTCTAAAAAATAAAAATTAAAAAATGTCAATAGGGGGGGGGGGGGGGGTAGAGGGGGGTAAAAACGGGCAAATTGCAGATACATTTTAGACTGTTTATCACGGCCAGGTTTCTGAACCAATCTTAACGCAACTTTTGCCGATCGATAGAGAATGAACCAGGAATTCACATGGATCCTAAAAATATGCATTTTCAAAAATCATAGGCGGATACAGATCATTGAGATTGGGGGTACACAAAAAGTATAGTAAATAAGGTTTTTGTTGGTACTGTTTCTAAAAAGGGTTGTAATGGTCTTGTTATGTTACAATTTTCTTATGAGAGAACGACTACAATTGTATTGGTCATGCATAGGCGGTGTCAGGGCACCTATGTTGGGAGGTAAAACATAACCCCCCTTTTTGGACGCCTGGATCCGCCTATTATAGCAAAAACGTGTCAAAAGAGGATGCACAATAACTGTATATGTTATCACATGATACCTTTCATTCACTGTTCGTAAAACTGGTGCAGCATCGTGATCTTCGCCCAAATGACTCGCTTCACGAATAGGACCCCCCAATTCCCAGTGCTCTGGAGCCGCCCCTGGTAAAGTTATGAACTTGAAATTTTCAGGGAATGTGCCCAATTTAGTTTTAGGAAAAGTCAGAAAATTTCAGCATCGTAGCTTCAGCGGCTTCGGAGATATTCCCGAAAAACCTGAGGGGTGGATAAAAACAACCCCCTGCCACTAATAGGGTTAAGTGAAAGGGTGCCCTTTAGAAAGTAAAAACTGCCCCCGCGTTCGATGTCTCTCGGACGACGAAGATTCTGCGTCGTCCGGCCAATCCCGTTCAAGGTCAGTGGGGGCTCGGCTGCAGTTATGGAACGTGATTGGCCGGACGGCGTAGAATCTTCGTTGTCCGAGAGGCATCGAACGCGGGGTAAAATGCTCTACATACTAAATTATGCATACTAAATACTAAATACTACTCTGTATACTAAATTATGCATTTTTTGCAAGTCAAAGTACATGAGGTGGTGTGAAATAGATAATCCCACAATGTCTTTGACACCTGGTTCATGCCCACTCAAGTTAGTTCTCAATAACACATCTGTCTAAAAAGGAAGCAGCCCCTTTCCACTACAGTCTACATCCCAGATGATACAAGCACAGTTTCCATTATCACTGGTCAATAGGTACTCACTCGTACACCTCCTCCTTCTCCTTGTTGGTGAAGAGCAGCCCACACTGACCAACCAGCAGCTCCGAGATCTTGTGCAAATTCTTTCTGTGCTCAGTGTCCTCAGTCTTTCCCAAAGCATGTGCCATCACCTTGTTCTTTCCAAAGAAGAACCTGATGAAAATGAAACAGAACAATGCTTTTAAACATGAACACTATTATGTAAAATTAGCAGTTATCATTCATAAATAGGTTGTGTCTGGGAACTTTATAAATTTATGAAGTGCTTTAGTCAATATACATCCAATTAACAACCACCCCTTTCCTCTCAGTGAAATAGCCACTGTATTGGACTCGAACACACTATGAAGCTAATAAAGACATTTCAAATGAATATGAAAGTGCCAGTACCAAACAAAAAGGTACAAACCTGCTGTGTTTCCATTCAGCACGCAGCTCCTTCCACCGTTCATTGCGCATGTTCTGCACAGAGAAGACAAAGAGGCGGGCATAGTCGTCCGCACACTGTCGTACATCATCTATTAGCTTTGCTTTGGTGTCTGAACCCTTGCGACTTGTGGTTTTAGTCAGGGCAACTGAAAAATAAGCAGTTTATGATCAGTCAGCTAAACATCTGTAACAGCAACACAAGACCTAAGGGCAGAGGCAGTGCTACACCTACCTACATTGCTGGTGTTGGAACTCAGTTGCTGGCTATGACTTACGAGGTGCAATTGCTCGGTTATTATAATGCCCTGGCCCCTGTGCAGATTACAGAACACCAAGTGGTGAATGATGTTTTTTCTTATCATCACAGGCTAGACAAGTCTCTACAAACACTAGGCATGCAGTTCAAAAAATTGCATAAAACACTGAATTTAACATTGACTCAAACAATTACAAATAGTTCTGTACAAAAAGCTATACAAATAATTCTGACCAGAACAGTTTTATTAGAGCTTACCTGTCCGATCTCTCCGTGATTTCGGCATATTCTAATCAGGTATATAGCTTCAAGTCTACGGCCTTGCCTCAAGTCAACTTCCAAGTCGCGTCAAGTAGGTACCTACGAATGAAAAAAAACGATCTACTGGCGTGTATGCATGCCAACTCGAATCATTCCAATAAAAAACACTGATAATCTATCGTTCACTGATCATTCAAATAACGCTGAAAAGACCTACTTCATAGCTAAATGATAAAAATAATTAGCCTACCGTAAAACACACATTCTCGTGTTTATCCCCTTCCACATGTGCCGCGCACACGTGCGTATCATTTTTGTGTTTGTAACTTTTGCGTCATTATTGCCGAAATGAACATCTTAAAACACAGCTAAAATAGGACCACACTATTCAACTGCCACCTTTGCAGCCTAATTCAGGAACCCTTTCTGGGCCGATCGAGACGAAAACAACAACACCCCCAGTCGATTCGTCGGATGCGGTTCTACCAGCCATTCAGTCGTTTTGAATATGGTGACCTCAGGTGACCTCAGTGACTGAGAAGTCACCTGGACGTTTTTAGTGCCTATGTCAGCCAGTAGCCACCCTATAACTCAGCAACAAAAAGTCACTTTGCCTAACTTGCCGTGCGTGGTTATACATAAGTCGCTTCCAACATGGCGACCTGAGACCTCAGGTGACCTTGGTGACCTGGTCAAGAGGTCAACTGAATGTTTTCGCCAATGGTAGCCACCCTATCTATAGGATGGCCACCCCCACCCTACCTCAGCAACTACTGGGCTGATGGGTACGAAACGCCACCAGTCGAAAGTCGAAACGCTTCCCCGCCCTCTAACTCGGTAGCTGGGCCACGTAGTGACACACGATAAGCGGAATTCGAAAGAACGTCCAAAATAAGGACGAAAACATTCAAGTGAATGGTGAGGTCAAAGGTCAGGTCAGTAAAGGCCATCAAAGGTAAAATATTGCTTATTTCAGCATTTTTCGAAACAGCGGCACATAACTCAGAAGTCAGAAACCAATAGACCTACAGCGCCGCGGAAAAGCCCATTCGATAGCCCTTTTAGCTCTCTTTTTGAATTGTGATTGGCGTCCTAAGATTTGCCTCAGGTCAACGGTTTAGCCTCCAGAGGACAAAACTAAAAATAGCCGCTTTTACGAAAAAGGTTTTCTTCAATAACTTTTAACTCAAGAGAGTCACCACATTACTTTTGCTAGCATCGTGTTTCTCCCATCGAGACGCCTCGAATGAACTATAGGTTAACTTTGAACGGACATTACCTACCTGACCGGGGAATGTCATGTTGCGCATCAGTCGATCCGTAACGTCGAGTCGAACACATCTAAGGCGTTTTCATCGCTTTAGCATGCATGCGTTTATCAGAATAGCGAGAAAAAAATGTTAGATAACTTTCGTGACCTGAGATGACCTCAGAGACATAACCAGGGGCCACGGGTTCCATTTTTGGTCTAGTGTGTTATGTTTCCTTGTAATTCGGCGTTTGAAAGTATTTAGAATGTCGAATGACGTTCGTCCAAAACAGGCGCCTTTCAATTTTATCCCATTTACTTATGGGGGAGGCCGGGATAGCCCCCCCCCCCCTTAGCATTTTTCATAATTGCTTAAAATTTGCGAGAGATTTATTTTATTTTTATGGACCGTAACGTACCTGGTCTTTCGATTTCTACTACGTCACTTAGCTGCGATATAGGTAAGTAAGCACATAAAACAAATGATTTTCCAAAACACTGCTTTTTCTAGGGTAGTGCCGCCCTCGGGGCAATGTCGCCCATGTATTATCGCTTAGCTCATGTCACGTAATAATTTGTGCTTAGGGAGTATGCATAAGTTTTGCAAAAAGGCAAATACCTTCCTCTTTGAGGTAGGTACGACAATTGAGGGTAATGCCGGCAATAGTCCTAGAAACATGTAGCCATAGAAAATTGTCATGGAACAATTAGCCTATAGAAACATGTAAAACTCGAAAAGTGAACCGAGGTCATCAAAGGTCAATGGCCTGTCAATGTCACTTTGTGAAAGTTTAATGTCAATTTATGGGAGTCCCAATATACCCCTATGAAGAAATGCTTTGCACTGCAGTTTTGTGCTTAGCTCACCTTGCTGAATCATTTCCTGCTCTTAGTTTTGTATTTAAATAAAAAATAATTTCACCTTCAAATAAACTTCACCTAAAAAAAAATGGCTGAAAGGCCATGACCCTGCCCCCTGTTCCTATGCCTATGGGGGTGGATACTGGATAAGACCCCCTCCCCAGCCCAATTAGGAGCTGTTTCGCTCCTAATTGAGCTAGAACCTTGCGGGAAAGCGAACGTGTGCAACATTCGGAGACACAGCGACTGGTTTCCGAATTTAACCCTCGCCGGCGCAGGCCATTTTGCGTCCTTCGACGGCACAAGGGGGACACGACCTCCCTCGTTGGTACGACCCCCCCCCCCCCCTCGCGTTTGGCCCCTGATCGAGCTAGAGCTTCGCGGAAGAAACGAGCGTGTTACCCGTGACGACAGAGAGCCGATAATACCCAATTTTAAGGTCTTAGGTCATTGGTTGACCTTCCAGGTCAGGTCAATGACCCAAAAGTCGTGAAAATCGGGACCGGTTAGAACGTCGTAAAGTGTGGCTGCTTTATGCTTAGGGTTTTTTTTTCGAGGTGCTGATCGCGAATATCATGCCAGTTTTATCACAGATGATGTATTTATGCATTTAGGCCAGGTCGGGCCAGGTTAGATCAGGTCAACCAGTAGGGGTCCTGCCGAGTAGGTATTCGTAGTACGTGTCAACCGCTTCTGACAACTTTTTAACATGTTACGAAGGCACCAAAACTACTTCGTACTCGTAAATGTTCAAATGGTTGCTAAATTCAAATTCAGCTCCAAAAAAACAGCCTAGAAACATGTAAAACTCGAAAAAAAAATTGACCGAGGTCATCCAAGGTCAATGACCTGACCTGACCTTCAGGTGACCTTAACATTCACCCTAATGCATGGGAGCAGCATCAAATCACATGTTTGAACGCTTGAAGCCACGAAAAGACTAAAGAATGATGTTCCACTTTTCACAGGCAATTATTTGCCCGGAGTGGTAGGCTGTGCCGCCGCATCACACGGGCTGAGTTCACAAATTATAGCTTTGCCCCAGTGCTCACAATCGACACGCTTAATTGCGTGATAAACGGCACAACTTAGCGCTCCGGTCAACTGATAGCTTCTGAGGAGTGGAACATCATTCTGTAGTCGACTATAGGGGAGAGTGGGGTGGGTTGTATTAGTTTTTACTCCGAGACCCATAACCTCGTAACTATCCGTGATAAACTCATTATTTCCATACTATCTCCTTCCTTGATTCTTCTGCTTTTTTGTGCAAAGTAACTTTTACGCTACCTCTACCAGTTTTTCTTCTACGGTCTGCCGAATAGAACACTGTTTTTGATACAACTTGCCCCATGGCTTGGGTGAGTTGTATCACATGGTGGGGTAATTTGTATCACTAGGTATTTCACGTTTCAGGGAGTGTGCTTGCTGCTAGTTTTGAACATAACAACAACATTAAATGGGGTTAATACAATGTATATGCTCAAAGGCTTCACTTTTATTAGACCAACCTTAGAGTTAGGTCAATGCAATCCGAACGAAACATCGAAAAGAACGAAACATCAACAGACTAGATGCAAAAGTGGCCCGTTAAGAGCAAAGAAGCCAACACATTGTGCCGAAATGGAACGAGTATTGACTAGCTACCTACAAACGCGAGACAGGGCTTAGCTTTCGCGATCAAAAGCAACATACCCATACATACATACATGTTACAACATACCCCACCCGGCTCTGATACCTACAACATGTACCTCGCCGCCATCTTGGAAAAAACATCCTCGTGCTCAAAAACAGCGGACAGCTGAAGAAATCTATTTTCACTAACGCAGCCTTAGAACCTACCCTCACCACCGCTACGGAGATCTTTCAAATTCGTGCACATCTAAATGCCCAAGACACACATTTTCTTGCAACTCATTTTTTTAGAATGACATTTAAAAAAACAACATAAAATCGGCTCTCACCTCGAGACGCGTCCACCCAGCCCCACGACAGAACAGGGAAAGATGTCGCCCGGAAAACCTCGTCGGCTGGTCGTGTCACGAGCGCTATCTATTGGATAAGTTTGGCACAATTCGCCCTGATACAACTTGGACATGATACAACTCTCCCCGCTCTCCCCTACGTCAAGTCGCGATTCCGGCCATACATTAATTGTTGTCGTTACAACAATCACGAATGTTGAGTTAATGAATACATTACGTTAAATGCGAAAAATTCCCATATTACGAATACGAAGAGCGAAGGGAAACGAATCGTCGTAATGCACTCAAAAAACTGTATTTTCCGTGGAAACCCGTCGGAACGTTCAGTAAAATCATAAATAAAATATTAACGTTCCTCGTGCGCTCCAATCGCTGTCGCCTTTCGTTGCGTCGGCGACACACTCCCCCCCCCAGAAATCGAACCGAACAACCGATATAGTCAGGTAACACACGACATATTTACCTCCAGTACCTTTTGGAGGCCGTCTGTCCAAGCGCACAGTCTAACGATATACTCGCGCGCCTCAGAGACGATCTCAGGATCCTATGTACAACACCGATATTCCTCACGCCCTGCGTCACGTGCGTGCTCACTCCGACTCCTCGAGAACACACAATCGGACGACAGGTCGGACATATGTGCCACTCGGCGTGTTTAGTTCGACTGACCTCACTCGTCCATCTGATCCCGGGAACACTTTGGCTACCCGAGCCAGGGGCCAGCGGCCACGAGGTACGTTACTATCAGCAACTAGCACCACGTCACCGATCTGAATGTTTCTGGTATAATTCGTCCACTTCTGTCTACCGATCAGTGTGGGCAGATATTCTCTGGTCCATCTGCGCCAGAAATGGTCTGCAATCTGTTGCGGGTGACGCCAACGTCTTGTAGCTAAGACAGCTCCCTGCAACTCCAGACGGACCACGGTCAGCTGCTTCAGAGGAGCGACTCGAGTCCGGCTCATGACCAGCGCGTATTGGATAGCGCCGGTCGCGTCGATTTGCCGGAGGTAGCCTACTGCGCCGAAGGCTGCTTCCGAGGCATCGCTGAACACGTGCAGCTCTGACCTCTTCACTGGTCCATCCAGAGCGGTGTAACAGCGAGAGATCCGTAGCTGTGAGAGGATGTTGGCTTCCTCTTGCCAGCATCGCCACCTGTGAAGGTCCTGTTCGTCCAGCTGGCTGTCCCATGTAAGCTGCTGTC